AGGGGGAGTGGATTTTCGTTTTCCCTTGGTGTTCTGATACGAATTTTTTATTTTTTTATCGGAACTTGTAGTTGGTAGGAATGGAGTTGGTTGAGTTTTCGGATCGAAGATTAGACGTGGGAAGTGGTACACCAGCAGTTATACATATATAACACGGGTACTGGAGAGAATCGAGAAGTGAATGGATGGATGGATGAATGAATGTTTTCAACAAACAACCCACGACAGACAAACAAATGAAGAAATAAAAGATTAATAGGTAGGTTCGGCCCCTTTCGCACAGAAGTTTAGAAAAGAGAATTGGAATATAAAACTCTTCACTGTCTGCGCTATCAGATGCAAGAATCAATTGAAGAGGAAGCCGGCGGGCGAATGTGTAAAGTTGTCCTCGAGTATGAGTATATGTACCTAGGTGTGTAGGTATGTATAAGATTGATTCAACCAACTTTTTCTTCTGCTTTTCTTCTTCTGCGTCCTACAATCCAACTGCTTTTTGAATGTTGAATATTGGGGGGATAAGGGACAAATATTTACACGTCTACAGGGTTGCTATCGATGTAAACCCTTGTAAATTTGAGTGAGAGGGAGAGCTTGACGTTTTCGGGGAGGGACAGAAAGTAAAAGAGCATTTACTTAATGAAAGGTGGAAATCCTTGGGATGATCAATTCGGACAAGTTGAGATTTTTCGTATGTAGACTCATGGATGGGACGTTTTGGAGGGGGTGGTGATTCGTGAATGGTTCTTCAGGAGGACAGTGGCTCAAGTGGGAATGATCACCTATGTATTTGTGGATGTCGATGGCAGTGATAATTGTGAGAAATAAGAGGAATGAGAGGAATCCCTGACGGTAGTGTGATACAAGGGCAGTTGGGTACCACTGATGATCTGTGGTTTCTGATAGAACTCTATTATACTTTCTGAGATGTGGGATATTACTGCGATATTGGATATTGGATATTGGATACTGGAGACTGGCGACTGGATATTGGATATTAGACGCTGGATTGCTTGGTGAATTTCTTGGTGAGGCTGTGATAATCTCTGCGTGATGAAACGTGAGCGCAGATTCGTAGATATTGGATGGGATGGGATCTCGGTGACAGAGTCACTAAAATGAGTTTGACCAGATGAACCTAATTTGGGGCAAGTATCCAGAGTCCAGAAGCCAGCAGCCAGACAGATCCTGCCGGCCAGGTATGTGTGATTGCTTGATTACATTTGCAATATACTTTGAACTTTGATGAAGGGAACTACGGATATAGGAAACTATGGATATCGCGAACGATGGACCAAGGTATGAAGAATGGGTTGACACGATAGTCAGCTCAAGAGTAGAGCGCCAGGAGACATGCAGCAGATTAAAGCAGTTAGACATTCCTGACGTTCCAAGATATCTCCCAGATTCTCCCTTTGGCCGTGACGTCGACGAGTATCTACGAATACCTAGTATCATCAACAGGATCCATCCAGATCCATCCAGATCTACGGACTAAAAGATACTTCCTCTCATATGAGCATTGAACCGTCAAAGTACAGCTAGCTACACACCTGCATGGTTTGGATTATCTAATGAATTGTCAACATCTTATTGTCTATCTCTCTCCCGCTATCTCTTTCTCATACAGACTAAACGTCTTTTAAATGCATCATGGAGAATTCTTTAAACACCTATCGCAAAACCAATCCTCTTCCAGTAAATGATCTCCGGGGACCTGACTTATGCATTGATGCACCGCCATTTCGAACATTTTAGGCGGGGATGGCGGCTTCTAGAAAACCGTTAGATTGATTTGGTTTCTAAATCCTGAATTTGTATTATATGCTTATGCATTCTTTCTCCAATAGAACGCGGGAACGTTGACCAGATATTGGGTACAGACTGCAGATTCCAGAGTTCTGCTTCCCGAGCCCAAACATCGTGCGTGGAATGAAGAAGAAGAAGAAGAAGAAGAAGAAGCAGAAGAAGAACAAGGACGCAAGTTGCTTTGGACCCTGACACGCGCATGCTTGAAAGTCACAAATTCACAATGTCACATTTCTCGTATTGTTCGTGGTAAAAAGGACCGAGAGAGAGGCAGAGAGAGAGAGAGAAATTCTTGATAAATTCCCTACCTCCTTCTCCTGGCTGTTTTCCCCCAACCCAAGCACTTACGTCTCAAAGGAAGTGTCTCGATAAGAGCTATCTTCTGACCTCTTTCATCCCACTGCTTCATCGGCGTCATCGGCGTCATCATCATCATCATCATCGTCATCATCATCATCGTCACAATCATCGGCAGCAGCAAGCAGCAGCAGTGATATCGTGGCCCGTTAGGTCAAGTCCGGAAGGTTGCAGTGTAGAGCTTTGTATGCAGCATCTGATACAATTTAGAGTTTTCCTCTACATGCACCTACCCGGGCTCGCCAGGGAATATGTAATCTTTACGGTGAGGCCGATTGAGCAAATCACGCAACTGATGCAAATACACGAGATACACAAATATCCTAAGCTTCTTCCAGACTTCAATCATCAATCTTGATTCTTCACATCACAATAAACTTTATTACCTGCGAGTCATGTTTTCTCGTCACACATTGAATGCAGTGCGCATGCCGCACGCCGCACATACCGAAGCTTTATCAACAACTTCATTTGGATCCGAATGCTGAGTCTTTCCCCATCTTACCAATCTTACCATGGACCCATTGCTCTTGCGATTTCATCCACCAATAGCTACCCCTAGCATGGTGCTCTCCCGTTGACAGGTCTCAAATGCTCCATCCTCATTTTGACAGACTTTTTTCACTAATGTGATCTGTATCAAGCTGCAGACGCTGGGCTGGGGATATCACTACATAAGGTTCAACACCTTACTCCAACTACTTCCTGGGGGTCGGGCCATCATACCATGCCATCCGTACGAAAGTATCATCGTCTCTATGAGATTGCGTTTGATCTCTTGACCGCTAAATGAAGCAGGATCATCGAGGCAACTCGAGGTAATTACGAAAACGAATGTTTCCTCTTCACACGCTTCATTGTTTAGAGTTTTGGGTTATATTTATACTCAAGATTTGATTGGATTCCATTCTTGCACAAGGGAGTCGATCACAAAATTTACTATCTACAGCTGCATAAGCTTTTCCGTGAGAGGGGTCCTACCATCGATCTTTCAAGGTTCGTTGAGCATACGTTACAACCAAAAAGAAGGGTAGCAAGATCGTATGATGGGTCGTACCGTCCGTCCACCAACCTCTATTGGTAAATCATTCCCAATGACAAGTCTCAGCTTCAAACGTCACCCGTCGCCCCGCTGTCATCCTTCTTTCTAGAGGCCATGCATGCATGCGTCAAATCACCACTTTCAGCTACCGCCAATACCGTGCGCTACAAACGTCGAAGTCTTGTCGGTCGTAGTCTTGAGTGTTGGCAATTTTGTGCTCCAAACATCCCGACTTTTAGGAGAATACCGGCAAGCTTAAATTGATACTAGTTAGTCTAATGCTGGAAAACAAGTCAGTCTGGTTTGCTCTCGCTCGTGATGTTGCATCTCGAAGACAGATGAGATGGGACAATGCAGTCTCTCCGCAGCCCTATCTGACCTTTTTCTTTGTCTAGAAAGAGGTATTTTATGCATGGATTGCAAAGCTGTAAGACAGCAATGACCTTGTTGGCTTTGTTGTTGTTCCAAGTACTCTCATAAGCCTATAGCCTTATGAGTACGTACAGGATCAACCGATGTTGCCGCATAATTCCTCATCCGAGTTTTCCCTATAAATATCATGCTTTCCGTTATATCTCGTATACACAGGCAAGCTAAGCCTTACTTACTAGGTACTTTTCTAAGTATGGCCATGGCCTTCTTAGGTTGAAGCTTACCATCAACCTTGGCAAGGTGGAACATTTATTAGAGACTTTAGTGAATGCAACTTGCCGGCAAATGCCTGCAAACACTGATGGTTGCCGACAAGGCTCAAGCTACCCTTGGGATCTCAAATATCACTGTTGAGTTTTCAAAAGCAACGAAATGCTGTTTTGTTTTATCGCAATTTGAGGTCTTCCACTTAGCTTTTGGCTATTTCAATTTGGTGCCAATGTGTTTTCTTGGCCTAGATCTTGGAATAGCACGTTCCTGAATTCCGGTAGCGGGTTGCTTCATTTGCTTAAGGATTATTTTCTACCTTCACTTTCCCCAACTGTCGTCGACTTGGTTGTCAAAGGGTAATACCCATAACTACAGTAGTGAGTTGCAGCTTACTGGTTAGGGACAAATTTGCGGAAACATTGAATGAACCCTGGACCCATCAGTACCATGCTTGTGCGTGGCTAACTGGGCATGGTAGCTACGCGTGCATGCCTACACTGCGGTCGATGTGTCAATACCCCTTCACAGGGCCCACTCTCTAGAGGTCAACCTTGAACGCTCAGCCTTTTAACTTTCATGATTTCATTGTGGTTGCACCCTTACAGTACCACAATTCACGTGTTGCTTCGGTCATATTATGGGGCTCTGCTCTTCAAATTGTACCGAATTATCTACGGATAGCGGGTATCCCACAAATGGACACAAAGGAATTCTCCGCTTTACCAATTTTGAGCAGATGCGGTAAGGAAGCCGATCTGGAAATGTGAATGGCTTCCATACTCACGCATCTGGATTAGTATGCCGCAGGTGATGTCAGGAAAGGTTGAAAGCTTTTTCACCTGCATCTATCTTTCACTATCGGTGACACTATCGGTGATACTAAATAGGTACTGCTGATACAATGGATGTTATGAAAACCCTAATCATCTCTTGTGGCTGGGCTTGATGGGCTTGCAGGTAGTCATGTCTTGTTTACCCCAGAAGGTTTAATCTTAGCTTGCGTGTTCAACGAGCGCAGCGCGGGTATCATTAAACTACCGGAAACATCCGACTACAAACGCCCCGGTACTCGTATTTATCTAATCTAATGGTACAATGAGACAGACTAATAGCCGCAATCATAAGAGCAGTCTAGCTTGGACCTCAACCCTTCTCACATCTTAGCAAACAACTTCTTGGATTTCGCTAACCTTGCCATTATCAAGAATGCAGTCCCAATGAACAAGTCAGCAGCGGCAAAGATTTGCGCGTACTCATATCCCCCATTTTTCTTTTGAATTAACACTCCTCCGATAGGAGGTCCCGTCAATACAGCAAAACTTACAACGGTAAATACCATTCCCATTCTAACGCCAGCTTTTCTCAGGTCTGTGGTAAGACTACTCAAAACGGCTGGAAATAGTCCTTGAATACCTGCCGCACAGATTCCATACATAACCGACCATGCATACAAACCACCTCTTGATGATACGGCAATCCAGCAGAAGCAAAGAAGGCTGTCTATGATTGCTATTGGAATAAGTGTATTCAAGGGTCCAAATACTCGATCTGCCAGGTGGTTTGGTAGGACGCGACCTACTACCCCAACGGCATTCAGGATGATTATTATATTTATCGATTCTGCAAGTGGCAATCCGATGATTGATCTTGCGTATGCTCCAAGGTAATAGAAACCGAAGTATAAGCCCCAAAAGTTCTGTTTGCTATCGTCAGTGGGTGTCAATTAACACATGATGGCCACAACTTACGAAAAACATTCCAATTGCAAATAACACATATGGAGCGTCTTTGAATGATGGATAGTCAATCAAAGCACCACTCTTCCTCGGGGGAACTCTCTGCTTAATCCCAATATTACAAATTCCAAGACACACTAATTGAATAAGACCCAGCGACCTCATCGTCCACCCATATCCAATTTTGGGCAACAACTGTTGCACCATAATTGGGAAAATCACACCACCAGTTGCACTTCCCGCAGCCGCAATCCCTATCACTAAACTCTTCTTGGTACTAAAATACGTACTGAGAGTTGCAAGAGCAGGACAAAATAAACAGCCATTACCGAGACCCATGCAGATTCCTTGCGCCAGGAATACTTGCCAATAGGTCGTGGAGATGGAGGTCATGAAGATTCCGAGGAGACCGATAATGGTGCCGACGAGGAATACGGAGCGGAAATGTCCAGCGTCGGTGAGACGTCCGGTAAAGGTACCGACGAAAAAGAGGAGGAAGATTTGCACGGAGCCGATCCAGGAGATATCGGAGGCGGGGCGGTTGAGGGTGGTGACGTAGTAGGTTTGGAAGACGCCGAAAGAGTTTATGAACCCCCTGCGGTGGTGTCAGATTGGGTGCGAGGTATTGGGAATGGTTGGGGAATACTAACCATGTGTTCATGATGACAAGATGACTGAGTATAACTGCGGAAAACAATGAAGTCAGTGCATGGTTCGGTAAGGTCTAATACTAAACCACTGACATCTCCCTAGCAATTTTCTGCAATTCAATTTAATATATAATTTGGGCGTATTTCAGCGCGGCTTTCCTCATCTGTCTTATTTCCTTCTTCTCGCATCTATGTTCGCAGTTTTCCTTGGACTTGTACCTGCACTTGCAAGGGCTTTACACTGCTATTTCGGATGAAGACTACTATCACGCGAGATATATTGGCGTCTGATCTCTCAATGCTGTCCCTACATTTCCTTGCCGTTTCAACATTCTTGTTTCTCTCTTCTCCTTCTCAAACCACAACCTTCCTCACAAATGTTCATTCCTTCATCACTCCTCCAATCTCCCCTCTCCCGCCTCTTACCCGCAAAATAAAAAAATAAATAACAAGACACACCTTGCACCCAAGCTTTCATTCCTCCATCCGGCGGCGGCCCCAGAGCTCTCCAACTCGCGGTCGTCACTTGGGTTCCATTGGTTCGAGTTCTCCGCGCTAGCGTTTCTGCAAATGCTGTGTCTTTTTCCTCGGAGCTGGTGGTTAGCTCGGGATCGGAGTGATTGGAATGGTGGGGTGAGCTGGCAATTTCTTTGTCGGGATTGGAGGTGTGGATTGGATTGGATGATGGGAGGTATGGATAGGTGGTGGAGGTTTCTTCGGTGGAGGTTTCTGGATTTATAGAATTGGGATTGGGATTGGGATTGGGATTCGCCATTTTGGATGGAGACTCCAATTAGAGATTATGTATATGGTATGGTATAATATAATATAATGTAATATGTTGAAATCCAACCAGCGGTTTAAAGGGCAACCCTGATTTATATAAAAGAATCTATCTAAAAACTGGAATCCTCCGAGAGAGGAAAAAAATTCCTCCTCTGAATCATTCACTTGAAGGAGTCATAGATAAAAATGATGGGTTGATTGACAGATAGGTAGATAGGTAGATGGATTGATAAAGTGGATCATCCCCCACACACCGAGCAAGTCTTGAAGAAAATATTGTATGGGAATGGATGGAGTTGGAGCTCGGATGATATGAAGGGGTATATGGTTGTATATGTAGGTAGGTATGTAGATGTGTGAATGTATATGTGAATGTATATATGAAGATATTGTAATCTTTTGAGCAATAGTCGATTTTTCAAGAATGGAAAAGCAGACAGATTTTTATATAGAATTTTGATTTGCAATCTTCACATGTAGATTTGAGGGGAGGGTGTGGTGTGTGGTTACTAGGTAGGTAGGTATATGTAGGTAGGTAGGTATATGTAGGTACGGGGTAGGTACTGAGTAAGGAAGTAGGTCTTGACTGAGTAGTGTATTACTACCTGGTGTACTGATTTGATTGACGGGTAGATGGGAATGGAGAGGATATGAGTAGGTAGGGAATGGTAATGGTGATTAATGGTAATTAATGGTGATGGGAGATTTTATTCCTGGTTCGGATGTTGGGGCCGAGGGTGGGGGTGAGGGGATGGGGAGGGGGATGGGGATGCAGGTAGATGGATTGGTTATGTGTAAAGAGAATATAGATGGATTTGTATGTTTGTATGAGGATGAGAGAATCGAATGGTGAGTCCTGAGTACTTGGGTATGTATATTGGTAGGCGAGGAGAGGATATACAGATAGGTACACAGATATTCATCGAAACCCGAGTACAGTCACCGGAATCTTTGGTTGTAGAAATCGATGTATTCCAAGGTTGGTATCGATATAGGTAGGTAGGTAACTGATACGAATTTTTACGCAATATGGAATAATGGAGTTGGATAGTTGAAGGAAATATATATATGATACATGGAGATGAGTGATTAGATGGTTATTCCTGTTCTTATGTATATCTACCTAGTATATACCCGGGCTTGTAGTTGTATTTCTTTCGACGAAACTGACTTGACTGACTGTTTTGCTATCGAGAGGATAGAATTGATGCGCCGGGAAGGATGAAGAATGTTGGGATGATCATACTTCGTAGACAAATAGATAGACAGATGCATACACACATACATACATACATACAAACCCAAATAGATAGAAGATCACCTCTGATGACAAACAAACAAATCGACAGCGAAAACAAAAGCAAAAACGCGGGGTTGCAACCCCGCTGTCTGCTTACAATTGCAATATCTTACTCAAGTACAGAACTCCATTCTATTACCGGTACCGTAATCTATTCTTATCCCACTCCTATCGGAGACTTTGATTCTAGACAATTGTAGCTTGGATATTTGAAAGGATACTTACTATCACACTGTGTACGGCGAATCCATGTTACTAGTTTGGTACTCCAAGCCTAATGTACAGTGTACGAGTACCTACTCGTGCTGCCAGAAAGTATGCAGCTCCGGCGCTAAATACGCTATATCGGCTTCAATGGGCTAATAGAATCCACTACTTTTTCTAATCTCATTATATTAAATAGAGATTTGGAAAATTGAATTAATTAAATCACTCGTTTATATTGAAGCTCTATTATTTTTAGTACAAATTTCAATGACTTATGCTCCTTTTTAGCACTAGAAAGCTTCCCCACAATAACTTAATCCTATTGAGGCAGGTGTTGTATACTTTCTAGCCGCACGAGTACCTAGAGTATATCGAAATAAGGGCTCACTCGCTACCGTTGATGGATTTTATGCAATAGACTGACACTGGCACTGACACTGACAGAAGCCAAGACGGAAGCAGACTGCCGGGGTGATATCACAGGACGAATGAGAAGGAGAGAGGATGAAGTAATGCCGATGTCGCTATCGAAAGCATATTTCGCGACCCCGGTGGACAGAAAAATTTCTTAGGTAACCCAAACCGTAAACCGTCCATAACTCCAGGGTAAGTGAGCCCTGCGCCGCAAGCAGAAAAAGTAAGTTTGCCGAGTGTGAGCGGGTAGGGATGCATGCCAAGAATCCAAGATGGATAATTGAGTTTGTGTCGATGTCTGTGTGTAGCTTTTCATTGCAGGTGGGAGCCGTGCATGGCATGAATGGGCCCTGGCGAGCCGGCCTGACTTTTGGGTATGGAGGGAGGGATGGATGGATCATGGATGAGACACGGACGGATGCGGATGAGGGCACACGGATACGGATGTGTGAAATGGCGGTAAGGAGGTGTGGGTTTGACTTGATGTTATCCGGATGCGCTGAAGGATAAGTTTTCCGAGCGGACTGGGGATTGAAAGGTTTGTCTGCGGGCTCACCGGGAGTGAGTTTATTTTTGGCTGTCAATTTTTGAATATACTTCTTGGTTTTGCATGAGTGATCCTGGATTAAAGGATTCCTTAAAGAAAGGTTTGAATCCACTACTGCGCCTAAATAAATTAGAGATTTCACATAAAATCATTCCGAAACGAACTCAAACTCTCCGGATCGTTGCATCGAATACTCTGCATTGAATATTGAGATTACTGATCTTTTCAAGTCTTTTCGAACCTTTCCAAATTCAGATATGCAATAAAACTTACCATGAAGGAAGTACCGAATCAACTACAAGCTCCCATTTTCTATCGGGGATAGTTCCTTAAGGTTCACCAATTTCAGGGTTTGGGGTATAATGCAATGGATTGAAGGGGCTGAGAGTGCGGGTCAGTTGGCTATTTAATGAGTGTGGTAGGTTTGGTATCTTGGGAGAGTTTGTAGAGCGAGGAAATAAGAGAAAGCAACGGGAGGTTGATTTGATGGTGTGTGAAATATCTCTTGTCTCGAAAGTGTAACAGAGAGCAGGCCAGACCGAGTTGCCTCGACAGATATAACAATGGTCGACTGGGTTACAGTAACTTGAATAGAAAAGGATGGATGCGAGTCTGTAGATTGCTTTGTGAAATGAGACGAGATGAATAAATGTAGCGAGTTGCTATAGAGTTAAAGCACGCGATGTCCTAGGTAGATCTCTTGCAAGACATCAGTATGTTTAAACTCCTATCTCGAATATTCATGTCGCCTCGTGTCCATCGACAAATTGGAAACACACCCAAACATTGGAACACCCCGTATGCCCCGTATATCCGAGACCCTCCTCCATGTATCCAGTCGCATGGAATACCCATTTCCAAGACACAATCTTTTCATACTCCATATAAGCATATTTTACTTCAAATTTAACCCCACCCTTCCTCATCATCCTCAAAATCAAATCCCGAATGTTTAACTTCAACACTTCCATCCGTCCCAGCCATTTCCTTCGCAGCGCCCTTTCCCGGCTCTCTAAGCCAATCTCGTCTTTGCCATTTCTTTGCCAAGAGTTAGTGAGCCCATGCATGTCCCTTGGATGCAATGACCCTTGGATGGAGCATGGAGCTCGGGGTTGCGCGTCGTGGCGACGAGAGCTGAGAAAGCGGTGCTATGGGCGACGCCATTGCTGATGCATGATAACATGCCTATCATAATCCTTATGAAAGCCATGAAAGCTGCGATGCAGTAGGATAATATAAGGCTGCGCGAATTGTACGGGTAGACGTTTGTTGATCTTCTAGATGTCACATTGACGTATTTTAGCTTCCTGTGAAATGACTATAAGCATGGCCCTCTATACCTGGATGAAAATGCACTTTTACTTTGTGGTGCTGCTCATTGCCACCACACTGATATCCAAGATACTGTAGTAATGATAACGCTAGAGGAACTTGAATTCTGCGAAAACTTCAAGTATTTGAAAGTTACTCACGTCAGTTGAGTTGCGCTGAGCATGCTTTGGGTTTCCTAGTGGCATTGATTGGTCGACTATGGCCAAGCATCGACGAGTTAGACCACACAATGGAGCGGGTTGTATTGCAGCCGTAGTCCTCTATCCAGTGACACTCACTAGCGATGCCTTTCACAAATTCGTCTTTCCACAGACTGTTAGTAAAATCCTCACATGTGTCGAGCCTACTTCTTAGTATCAAGTTGGAAGATTTGCGAATCAGAAGTTTCCCACTAGCTTTAGAAAACTCTTCACGTACAAACGATGCAATGTAAGAGTCATGTTCAGTATAGGGATGAGGGTTGGAGTAATCGAAGCCGTCAGCGTGAAGTCCATTAGTACAGGCTTAAACCCTATCGTTTGAAGACTGGTGATTGTTTGATCGCCATTTTCGACATCAAAACCTACCTACTTTGTAAGATGTGTTGCCTAGCGAGCATACGAAATTATCTCGCGAGGTCTGCACCCATAATTGTATCTTTGGTTTCGAATGGATACTTGAATTAGACAGTAGTGACCAGAGGTTCTGATTATCGAAATCGAAGGTGCCGAAATCCGCGAAGAGCGGCGTGAATGCAGAAAATATAAATATTGGAAAGCCAGGCTCAAAAGAGAAAAAGAGGGTTAAATTAGGAGTAAAAATAGTGTCTGTGAACGGAAGTGAATAAGGCGTTGTTGTACCAACAGGAAGTGAGGCGGAAAATTTGTTGAAGATTTGCTTTTGGACATCTGTTGATGGTGAACATTTTATAGTCGGCCCCCAAAACTGTAAGTAGTAAGACGAATTGTCGGCCGGTATATAATACGGAAGAACATCCATCCTTTCGGCTGCAGATGATGTGAGTGCGGAAAGTTCGCCTGTCGGCCGAGCGATTGTATCGAACCTTGGATAGTAAAATCCTTCCGAGCTCTAGTCGAGAGCTGGAACTTCCGCCGGCTGGTTTTCAATAGAAATTCCTAGAACCACAGATAAAGTAGCAGGCGGTGCAATGGCTGCTAGAGCTATCAACCTGTACGAAAAAAATAAGCAATAATGGCGACTTACTTTGTAGGAGGGGGGAATTACCTACTAGGAAACAGATGCTGATAGTACGGCCAATTTGGCATGTGCAAGTACTTCGACATTGAAGGAACCCGTAGGCGTTGACTTCAAGGCAAAAAGATCGTCAAGTCCATTGAGCGAGAAAGAATCCTGTTTGAATAACGTCCATAAGTGCTGATCGTAAGCTGCTTCTATTGCGGCTGCAAATAGTGAAGCAGTGGCATAAGCAAATATAGTAACAAACCTGATAGCTCATTGCTGGCGTAATGGTGACCCAGCCGCAGTCTTATTAAGGGAGGAGAAACAAAGGTGATGTCCAATGGCTAGAGCATACTCATACAAAGCGAGCAATATCACAAAGCAGAGGGTTTGCCATGCAATTCCCCATTTCACGTAGTGTCGTGATCTATGGATCTTGCAGGAATCTGGCGAATGAAAAGGTGCATCCGCATCAAGAGCATCAAGAGAAATGGATGGGTGTGAGCCTTGGATGTCAATCGAATTTTGCGATTTCAAATTGTTACATTCAGGATTGCTTTGTGAAAATATGCTACCGTTTTCGTGTCCTTGGACATGCTAGGCTGATTGCCTAACTAATTGCCATGGTATGTTTGATATGGATATTCAGCCGTGTATACAAGAGAACAGTCTGAGAACATGGAGCAACCGAATCAAAACCGGATGCTTTGGTCAAAAAATCCGCGCAAAAAATTGCAATCCTAAAACTAGATGTCGAGTCAAGATGGACTGCAAAATGCCTAGGAGGTGCCGAATGATTCCAATCCACAAGTCTTGGGAAAAGCCATTTTAGAACTCGCAATGACAAGAAACGGGTTGATTTCAGAAAAATGGTTGGCTTATGGAAATTTGTTTTGTGAGCATTCGCATCAAGAGAGACTTCGCCCACGAGGTCTTTTTGCGGAAGCATCCTACATTGCATTCGTACAACATACAGAAATAGGCCAATAGAGTACAAAGATTGTTCCACACTGGTAGTGCAATACTTGATTTCTAGAGAACGCATACCACGAAGGTAGATTTATGATGATTATAGACCATATAATTTGGGGATTTGTCTGAATATATCAGCTGGATCATGAAATATTGTAAATTTTCTATAGAAGATTTGGGTTATGTTGAGCATTTGAAATTCTGACAAAATAATAAATATTCATCAACCTTATACAACACAGTAAGGTTTGAAAAATGAACAGAAGATTAATTTCGAGATTAACAAGATAGAAAGCATGGCGAGGGTTCGTGAGAAGAAATGGAACTGTGGGACCTGAGGCAAAAACTATTTTATTTGTTCGCTTACTAGCGTCCACGTGCGCCCACACAATTGCTTGAATTCCTATTAACATTTTTCGAACTTTCAAAGTCTCACCAAAGACATCGACAACCACACGGCACTCTTTCAACGACAAGATGCCTACCCATTTGAGCAAAACCCGCAAGCAGTACGTTCTATCCCTCGAAATCGCAATTTCCTATCGACAAAATCACAAACCGATTGAGCGCGCGCGCCCAGATCAATTCCCCTCGAAGTTGTTGATAGTGCATTGGATGGAGGACTGAAAAAGAATTGAAGCTGACGAGATTTCTTCTGTATAGCCGCGGTCATGTTTCCGCCGGTAAAGGTCGTGTAGGAAAGCACCGCAAGCATCCAGGTGGTCGTGGTCTTGCTGGTGGTCAACATCACCACCGAACCAACATGGATAAGTACCATCCAGGTTACTTCGGAAAGGTCGGTATGAGATACTTCCACAAGCAAGGCAACCACTTCTGGAAGCCAGTTGTCAACCTTGACAAGGTACGTTCAGTTCTACAAACGATTTGGATCGCGGGGAAGTTGAGAACTTTCGAGATGCGACGAATATGGCACAAAAATACATTTACTAATATTGTTCTCTAGCTTTGGTCCCTCGTCCCAGCCGAGAAGCGTGATGAATATCTTTCTGGCGAAAAGAAAGACACCGTCCCAGTCCTCGACCTCCTCCCACTCGGCTACTCAAAAGTTCTCGGAAAGGGTAGAATCCCAGAAATACCATTGGTTGTACGCGCAAGATGGTTCAGCAAGGAGGCAGAGAGAAAGATTACAGAGGCTGGAGGAGTTGTTGAATTGGTTGCATAAATGGGAAAATTCATAGCGAATGGATTATAGGTTTTCTCAAAATACCATAAATGGCTTCTGAACAAATGGCTATTGGAGTTCTTGATGAAAATGAAAGGAATTATGAAACCATTTTTTTCGTTGGTGAATTGATTTTCATTATTATGGGTGCTGTGCAATCTGAGAGAGGGTTCACTTTTTGAAGTAACCTCTACATCTAGATTGCGTGCTGTGTAAAACAGTACCTTAAGAACTGACATGCAAGATATCAATGTCCTCACAATCCTAATATATATATATACAACAAAGTCCCAAAACACACATTTACCATACTCCCCATAATCCACAAAGCGCCAATACAACCATTCATTACGCTGGAATCATACTTAATTCGTCCTCATCATAATCTTCGTTCTTGATGTCATCTTGCGTTGGTTCCAGAAGGAATGGATGATTCAAGGCATCTTCCGCGCTAATACGTTTGTGCGGATTGAGCTCCAAGCAGCGCTCCAAAAATTCGACGGCCAATTTCTCTTCCTTAGTCAAGGGCTGTTCCGCCCCATCTGGTCCACCATCGTTTCTACATGTTGACCATAGGATGATTTTCTCCAACGCGAACCCAGCCTGGCCAATCGTAGGAATATTGGTTTCAAAAACAGTCCCGTGAAGATAAGCACAGTTCTTCATTCTCTTGACTCCAAATATGGTAGCAATCTCAATCATTGCCTCAACATCATCAGCCGAATTAAAGAACGGGAAACGTTTTGAAAGTATAGTCAAAAGTATTACTCCTGCAGACCAGATGTCAATTTTCGTCCGTTGCTCTTGACATTTGAAAAGCACCTCAGGAGCCCGAAAGCCACGAGTTCCAGCTCGGTTTGCACGCCGCGATGGTCGACTATCATGTTTTGGGTAGCCAGCCGATGGCAAATTTTGAACGGCTACACTATTCTCTAGCTTCCTTTTGCGTGTATCATAATCTCTTGTACACAGACAAGATTTGCAATCCTCTTCTTCCCGCTCTGCCAATCCAAAGTCGACAAGTACGCCCCTTTTCTTATCCGGCTCGTAGAGGAAATTCGTCGGTTTGATGTCCCGGTGAAGAATACCCTGGGCATGAACGGCCTTTAGGGCGGTGAACAACGACCGGAAATACACCTGCATATCAGAGACTTTCATCTTCCTGAAATATTCCCTGAAATCCGTATGTCTGAAATATGGTAAAACTGCAACTACTTGATCGGTATGCCTGAATGCTGTAATGAGGGGGCAGACTGAATCGCAGCCTCGGAGATCGTTTAGGAGGTCTAGCTCATTGAGGATTCGAGTTGGACTGCTTGTAACATAAATTTTCTTTATAGCAACATATTTTTTCCCACGGCGTTGTTGATTATATTGGTCCAAGACTTCTCGAATTCCACCGGTCTTCCTTTTTTTCACGGGCGGTGACGTCCATGCGGAATGCTCTTTCTCTTCAATATCCCAATCATTATCGTAATGCTCATATAAGAGATCCTCTGCTTTGTAAACGGTAGAGAATGTACCTAGATCGCGTTAGTAACCGCGCCATAACATGCAATTGCTTGATTTACCCTCTCCAATACGATTTATCAGTCGAAATCGATCCTTTATGCCCTTGAAAGTTGCTTCAAACTTGGCGATATCCTCTGCAGTAGCAGCATCAACAGCATCATCGCTTTCGTCAGACTCTTCCGAATACCCTTCATCTTGCAGCCTCTCGTTATCTTCAATTCTTGATTCGTCATTCTCGAGGCCCTCTTCATTCATTGCCTCTTCTTGATTTGTCTCGTCATTGTGAATTTGGAAAGAATTTTTGGTATTCCCTTGACGTTGACGTGCTGTTGACATATTGCTATTGAATATAATTTTGAGTAAATTGAGATTCTCAAAGACCCATCACTGAATGGAGTCGAGATCTCGATCGGGTTGCTTAGTACAATCGACGCAGTAGTAATTTATTGCTCGCTGTACGTATGTGATTTTTGGCGGGGTCTTCAAGTCGCGGTCAAATCGCGGTGCAGGTTCTAGGCGCTAGTCTTGAAGTGGTAGAAAGTCAACATCAATAAACACAAAACCCCTAGCAACTATTATCGCAAACTTCATCCGTACAAACAAATAAATCAACGACAATACATAAACTCGGTTTATGTATTCTACTGCGATTCCGGATAGGTCGTCATTGTCGACAATATGGATACGATAGATTTCGATATCAATGATGCTCTTAAGCATTATATGAGCGACCCCGCGACTGTTCCGACACCAGAGGCAGATTCCAACCTTGTCGATTGCGAAAATGACCCCGAATCACTCACAAATGCCCTGGTCAACAGTGTCCTTAACCCCATCGTGGATTCAGTTGCAGAGAATCCAGATGCTATTACAAGAAGTTCATCATTTGATTCCTTGCAATTCCTGCTAAAGTGTGTACCAGTTTGTCCTCAATCTACTCAAAATTACCCCACCGAACCAGATTCTGAACTCTTCAAACTTTCTAGATCCTCTTCCGCCCTACCTACACATGCCTTGAGCAAAATATTTGACCTCATAGTCTCCGGTCTTTCTGCTGAAGCGGATACCATCCATAACGATCTCGAAACAGATGAACAGGAATTAGTCGCTCACCATAAACAATTACTGGAGATCCTTGGATTCCTATTACAATGGACGATCGCAGCGGTGGAAACCAAGGCGGCTGAGAAGTCGACAACTGCTTCGGTGGCCCGTGGAAGAGGCAAGGCCTCAAAAGCTAAAGCAAGTGCGAAAAACGAGAACTGGGACTCATCTGCTCAATTACAAACAGCACTTGACACTATGTGCAAGGTCCTAAAGTTAAAGCTCTCAAAGATATTTCTAACAACATCCGAGAGGGATACATTTATTAGTCTATTTACGAGACCTGTGTATATGGTACTAGAAAGTGAGCAAAGAGTTAAGAATACAGCAATCCGGATGCACGCTTTCAAAGTCCTCTGCATTGCTGTTAAGCATCACGGCCACGGTTATGGTAGGTTAATTTCAGTTGTATGAATGGGTTTGAACTGACTAGATGATAGCTGCACAAATATCTATCGTGCAGAATTTGACCTACTTCGAGCATTTAGCCGAACCTATGGCCGAATTTTTGCATATTCTATCCGAGCAATATGATTATCCTCAATTATCGGACGAAATAATTCGAGAGCTTAGCAACAAAGAATTCAATAGTAACGATACCAAGGGACCGAAGTCGGTCTCGGCATTTATCGTCAAACTCTCCGAGCTCGCTCCTAGGCTGGTTATCAAGCAAATGACTATGCTGGCAAAACAACTGGATAGCGAAAACTACGCAGTACGATGTGCCCTCATCGAAATCTGTGGAAATCTCATAGCAGACCTGAGTAAGCAGGAAGAACGTGGCGATAACCACAAATCACAACTCAATGCATTCTTTGACGTATTGGAAGAACGATTCTTGGATATCAACCCTTACTGTAGATGTCGAGCAATCCAGGTTTACATCAAGCTTTGTGAACTCGAACAAAAGTTTCCAAAGCGTCGACAGAGAGTCGCCGAATTAGCCGCGCGAAGTTTAGAGGATAAGAGTAGTAATGTCCGCCGAAATGCCGTCAAACTCTTGGGAACCTTGATCAAAACCCATCCATTTAGTCTAATGCACGGATCACAGTTGAATTTCAAGGAGTGGAATTCTCGATTAGAAGCCGTTGATGCGGAGCTGAATGCACTAAAGCCTCCAGCCGAAGCAGCTGGATTAGCTGATACTACCACAGCAGAAGCAGATCCCCAACTACTAGACGATGCTACTGTTCTGGAATCGGATTCTCCCAAGAAGGCTCAAGCACCTATGAGCGACGAGGATAAGATTGCGGCAATCAAAAAAGCACAAGAAGAAGCTGCTACTTCAGAGGCTATCAATAAATTATCTTTGACCAGACGATACTATGTTGAGGCTCTTAAATTTATTGAAGTTCTACATGGAGCTACTACCATTATCTGTCAACTGCTTGGATCGAAGAATAAGAGCGAGGTTATTGAGGCTATGGACTACTTCGAAGTTGGAGATGCTTACAATATCGAACAAAATAAGCTTGGCATCAGAAGAATGTTACGTCTAATCTGGACCAAGGGTAATAGTGACGAAGGAAAGGGTGTTCAAAATCATCTTATTGATTGTTACAAACGTCTTTTTTTTGAAGCCCCCGATACATACAGTGGAAACGATGCTGCGAATTACGTTGCACGTAATATGATTAGTTTGACGTTTGGAGCGACACCGGCAGAATTAACCTCCCTTGAGCAACTATTGAGCACCATGATGAAGGCGAACCATATTCCGGATCTCGTCATCTCAAAACTTTGGCAAGTCTATGGAGTCCAGAAGAGAGAAATTTCGAAGAGTCAGAGACGAGGTGCAATCATTGTGTTGGGTATGCTTGCTACCGCAAAGCCGGAGATTGTGGTTGGGGAAATGGAAACAATGTTAAGGATTGGTTTGGGGAGTCTTGGTAGATCAGACTTGCAGTTGGCCAAATACACATGCTTAGCACTGCGACGAATTAACCCTACTGGAAGACAAGCGACGCAGCAAACTTCGAAGCTTAGTAACGATCATGCCGTCCTCGGAAAGTTGGCTGCTATTATCGAAGTGGAGTCTGATAATAAAGAGTGGTATGGTGTAGCTGAACAGGCGATTAGTGCCATCTATGCCCTTTCGAAACATCCAGACAACCTTTGCTCAGAGATCCTCCGAAGAAAGACAAAAAACGTATTCCAGCGGCGAGCTGCGGCATCACCTCAGCCCAAATTGGATGAGGACAATGATACAGACATGATGGACGTAGATATGCCGGATGCAGACGCCGAAGAACAGGGACGGGAAGAAGAAGCGCCACCAGCGGAGACCGAAATTCCAGCACCGTCCGAAAACAAGCAGAAGGGTTCTGTTGCATTATCGCAACTTCTATTTATAGTCGGACATGTTGCTATCAAGCAGATTGTGCATCTTGAGCTTTGCGAAATGGATTTCAAAAGGCGGAAGGTAGATGCTGAAAAGAACAAAGCAGCGGAGACACCAGCAGACAAGGCCGCGAAAGAAGCTGCCGATGATCTCGATATGATAGGAGGAACAACGGAAGATGATTTCACGGACGCCATGGCACACATCAGAGAACGTGAACTGTTATTTGGACAAAATTCCCTACTCGCTAACTTTGGACCACTTGTGGCTGAAATTTGTTCCAATAACACAACCTACAAGGATCGCAACCTTCAAGCAGCTGCTACCCTTTGCTTGGCAAAGCTCATGTGCGTCAGCTCGGAATATTGTGAAACCAATCTTCCTCTTCTCATCACTATTATGGAGCGATCGAAGGACCCGATTATCCGTTCGAATGTTGTAATCGCTCTTGGTGATATGGCCGTCTGCTTTAACCATCTTATCGATGAAAATACCGATTTCCTTTATAGACGATTGAACGATAAGGATGCAAGTGTGAAGAGAACTTGTTTGATGACTCTCACTTTCCTCATTCTTGCCGGTCAAGTGAAGGTCAAGGGACAACTAGGAGAGATGGCTAAATGTCTCGAAGATGATGACAAACGTATCGCAGATTTGAGCAGAATGTTCTTTACTGAGCTGAGCACGAAGGACAACGCTGTATATAATCACTTTGTTGATATGTTCAGCTTGCTGAGTGCCGAGAAGGAGCTTGAAGAGGATGCTCTCAGGAGAATCATTAAGTTCTTGGCTGGATTTATTGAAAAGGTATGTTGCTGCATTTTTTGTATATGTTTATATCACAGGAATTGATACTGATCTGATAAATAGGATAAACATGCCCGTCAACTTGCCGATAAATTGGCAGCTCGATTAGCTAGATGCGAAAGCGAAAGACAGTGGAATGATGTCGCATATGCTTTGAGTTTATTACAACACAAGAATGAAGAGATTACCAAGTTGGTACAGGGAGGGTTCAGAGTTGTACAGGCTAGTGCTTGATTTTACGTCGAAGGTGTGTATTAGGCAGGAGATGAAAACTGGGAATGGGCTTTCTTGTATCGGATGGTTGATGATATTGATGATTACGGTGTTAGGGTTATGATCATCGAGAAATGATACTTGATACCTGGCGTTAGGTTGTATGATGTATTAACGATCTTGATGAATATAAGGTTTTCCACATACAATATCCAAGAATTTTCCAAGTGCAAATACAAATTTGAAGTGATCTCGACGATGAGGATGAAGGTGTCATATCTACACTTCTTTTCTATCGAAATGTGCATTTCCTCAGCTAGCTACTCTACACTTTGATCACATACCTAGGTATATTATACAATGCTCTTGAAATAGTACCGAGGGAATACTAGGTACTATATACTTTCAACATTCATTTCTCATCGAAAACTAGAAGCATCCAAGAAAAAATTGCCGAGCTCACCGGGAAAATGAACATTTCCCCGGTGAGCTTTTAGCATTCATTTTTTCTTCTACCAGATATGAGATTAGATGAGAGCGGCAGTTTGGTATTTCCTCGCATGTATCGTGATATTGTGATCTTGTGATATCTGGCTGAGAGTGAAAGAATTGAAGCGTCAGAAACGGAATAGAGTGGGATGCAATAGAAGGGAATCCCAATCACATAATGTTACTCACACTGTACTATTATTTATCTACAAAGTGAAGTTTTAAACGTCAGTTACTTTTTGCACCAGAATTCCATTTCAACTTTTGAATAACGGTTTGATAAAGTGACTATAATGGTTCTTTCTCGCCGTGCACTCCTACTATATTACTCGCGCCATCCATTTTCTTATCAATGGACTGTAATGAGGGTGAAAAAAAGTTGCTTCAAACTGCCTACAAATTTCGCAATAAGGGTATCATGCATATGTTAATCGAATCGTCCTGTAACCCCCTCTTCACTTTCTTCCAGGCCCTTTGCATCTCCTGCCTCTTTTTTTCTTTCTCCTTGCCGAGGACCTCTCCCTCCCGTGTATCACTACCGCTTAATTCCCAATACTCCACACTTCTACTCCAATGATATCAAATTTCTCCCCTTCCTCACTCAATGGTTCGTTTCCAAATGTTGGACAACTGCTACTTACGCCCTTCTCAAAGGTATCATCTAACCAGAGTCCATAATGCCCATCTCCACCTCCTATTGATAGAAACCCTGTTTCGCAGAGCATCATGTAGTCGTTTATTCCAGAGTAGGGGAAGGCTTTGAAGCGAATTCGTTCGGGCGTGCTGGCGCCTGATTTAATGGAGGAGGGGGATTTGGGAGGATGTTGGGAGAAGGTGGGAGAGAGGAGTGAAGAGGGATGGGCGGGGTTATGGTTTTGATTTCGAGGAGCGCCGATGGTAGTTGAGCGTTGCAAGTTTGTTGTGTCGGAGGAAGGGGGAGGGGGAAGATTTGCTAGGAGGGAGGAGGAAAGGATGGTCGCGCGCCAGAGGAAACATTCTCCTGTGCCGAAATAGTGAGGTGCGGGGTGCGGTGCTTCTGTCAAGTATGCGCCGAATAACTATAGTCAACAACATCATTAGCCACATGCCCAATCTCAAATGAACCCCCAAGACCACCAAGATAACGACCAGACAAGAGATAAATAGAGATACATACCCCACCCTCTCCATCCTTAACAACCAATACAAAGCCATTCCTCAAACCCCTCAAGTCATCACACTTCTTATAAAGCGTCCCTAAGCTAACCCCATCCTGTTCCAGACTATAAACCAAATTCCATTCCTCGCACAACTGTAAGCGTGGGGGAACCAGTAATCTAATTTCCTCCGCCAATGCGCGGCTCAACAACTTCGCAGAGGGATCTGTATTTTCTCTCCACCCCTTCAACGTCACCGGATACAAAGGCGGTGGTTGAAATGGCGATGCTGTTCGATGAGGAGGTGTGTAGACGCCTTGAATACCATTTTGTGCTGGGGAGAATGATGGAGATTGGGATTTCGCGAGATTGGAAGTATTGTGGTGATGATTCCCATTGCCGTTACCCGAATGAGTAGAAGGTTCGGTGGAAAAACGTCGCAGTAATCCAGTGACTGCGGTGGAACTGGTCGGGACAGCCAACTTGTGGAGTTTGAGAGGGCGGGGGGTAGAGTGCCCGAGGAGGACATGGGGGTTTTCGTCGTGATAGCGATTATTTGCATTTGTGGATGGATGCGATTGTGAATGCGGTGGTTGGATGGTTTTACTGCATTGATGGATCCACTGGTAGGTATATGTCGTGTCCGCTATGCGTGAGTGTGACTGGAACGTTTCGTGGTTTTGTTCCGAGGATAGCTTGGAACCTTTATAAGATTGGAATGTGAGAGGTATAGCTAGCTAGCTTCGTGGAATGAATCTCGAGATGGCAATTGTAGTAATTGAGAGCAAGAATTATATACTTTAAAAGCTGTCGTACTTGAGCAATTGGTTGGAGTGAATTCACCCATTCGTGGTCTGATGAAATGAAAGATGTCGATTGTCGATTTCCAATTGCCAGTGCTGATTATTGAAACGGGGCGCCACTAAGTTTCAATTGGTTAGATTAGGTGAGATACGGATAAGGCTGAAAGGTGTGTGGGAGCCAAGAAATGTTTGTTTGAGTGGTAGATTTCAATGTTTTGATGTTTGATGTTGATGTTTATATCTCGTCTTTGAATTCTCGTTGTATGTCTCTCAGCGAGATTTGATTGTTCCGTCCGATACATAAAATATATCTCCAATTATATATAAGATTCCAAGTCGACGGTTCAACGACATCCATAGCCGTTTTTGTACGTTATCAAAATGAATGATCGGACGATTTTATGCATGACAACCCTCGGAATGAAGTACCATCGACATTGCATCAAATTCAACATGCTGTATCACCAATCCACAAATTACATGCAAACCTGCACTTGAAACCCAAATAAGCAGATCATGTGTCAAGAATCTTTCAATCATTAACGAGATATCTATAGGTAGCTACCTATTATCCAAGAATTTCTTAATCCCCTCAATTACACCTTCAGGACTTGGCTTCTCAGCACAAACATCCGGTTCATAATCAAAAGTATTCTTGAGATAATCCCTCGTGGTAGGTCCAATCGTCGCTATGAAAGTCTTTCTCTTTCCATCCTCCTGTTCATCCGCTCGTTTTATTTTCCCAGTGTGGGAATCTAACATCCCGAGTGATCGTAACATAGCATCGCATCCTGTCGGTGAGAAAACGACTACCCATCTCGTATCCCTATTCTCTGTCTCCTTCAATAAAGCTTTGAAATCTTCCTCAAAAGATTCCATTACTCCCGTACCATAAACCACCAATTCATCGACTTGAATTCGCTTCTCGGCTGATAATTCTGGATTCATTAATGTTTTAGGAATAATATCTCTTCTCTGTTCTCCAACATGAAAGAAGAGATGGTTTTATGGCGCGATCCTTATACCAATCCCCATAGTGTTCTAACATGTAATGTGCCAATGCTTCTCCATTTCCTGATTCGGCACCAAAGATATTCAAGGCGGGGGTTTGAGGTATCGATCGTAATGCTCGTGAAGTAGCTGGGCCGACGGTATAGACTGGTACATTTTGTAGATGTGGCCATTCATCGCTCTCTAGAATATTATTAGTGAATGGTCTATAACACTCAATCAAATAGAATTCATCACATACCCTCTCTTCTTTCTTTCTGCCCTCCCCCACCAACTTAGCCAAATAATTCCACAGCTCTCTGACTGGTAAAAATCAAAGCCTCCGTAGTTCGTTCCCTCTTCAGTCCCAAAGCCCCTCTCCTTAAGTAACCGCTTAACCTCATCCGCTTCCTTCATCCATAAACCTATGTTCCAATACCGGCACAAAAATCGTTCAAATCCCCTATCACTCCCCCTCCACCCCTCCCCCATGGCCTCATCGCATTAAAAACTCACTTCCTCAAACCTCTCCTCGTACCCATCATTCGGCACACTCTTCGTCTTCAACAAAACGTCGGTGTTTTCTCCCCATCCTTTCCATTCCTCAATCTACTTCTCTCCAATCTTTCAAATTCTCACTCGTAATTGTAACTGTAAATTCCCTAGATTCCAAACGTCAAAATCTCACTATCGTAAAAGCACATGAAACTTTATCATCCATCCCACTTGCGGGGCACATGTTGGAGAAATGACGATTAGCCTCTGCTCCAAGCTATCAGCACTACGCCTCTTTCTATTCGCCAATGACACGTCAATCTTTTAAGCTTAAACCATACCCCTGTACCCATGCGGAAAATGCGGAAAAGGCCGATCATTTTCCTTTTCTTACAAACCAGAGCTTCAATTATTATATATCTACTCGAGTAGACATTTTTGTACATTTTCCAAACTTCATGCATATTTATCTTATCCTTTTCCTTCCTTCAAATAATAAAGGCCAAAATGGCAGACGATACACAGGATGAAACCACAAATACACCTACCGCGAGCGCGGCCGTCCCTCCAAAAAAATATCCCAAAGGTGTAATATTGGGAAAAGATGGGAAACCGTAAGTCATACATACTGATTCTCCCCTACCTCCTCCCATCACATCACTACCACATCACATCATATCCATCCCCAAAAGCTAACCCTCCCTCCTCCCTCAGCTGCCGCTCCTGCAACTCCTTCGCCTCCTTCACCTCCACCACCAAATCTCTCCAAACCTCTCAACCCACCACTTCCCCCCAACCGACTGCCCCCACCGACATCGAAGCCCTCGGCCGCGCCTCCTGGACCTTCCTGCACACGCTCTCCGCTTCCTACCCCAGCAGCCCCACCCCCACCGACCGCACCAACATCTCCACCTTCATGAGCCTCTTCTCCCAACTCTACCCCTGCTGGACCTGCGCCTCCGATTTCCAAACCTACATGGCCGAGAACAAGGTGCGTACGGAAAGTCGCGCTGAGTTTGGAAAGTGGATGTGCGAGGCCCACAATGATGTGAATCGGAAGTTGGGGAAGAGGGAGTTTGATTGCGAGCGCTGGGAGGAGAGGTGGAGGACGGGCTGGAGGGATGGGAGATGTGGGTAGGAGAGGGAAAGATCACAATGAGTTGAGGAACTTAAAAATGAGTACGGGAGTCTAAAAGAAGATTGTTGGGGTTTGGGTAGTGGCAAGATATATTGTGATCTTGTGAAGTGAGCAGAGGTTCGAATATGAAAAATATAGGAGATGGTCTTGTGGAATGGGATGGGAGGATGTATTATATGAATGGGGAGAGGGTGTACGATATGGTATATGATGAGATGAGACAAGATGAGGTGTATGATATAATGGCCAGCCCAGCATAGTTCGGCGTTTCGGGACAAAATCAAGAAGGTTATGCATGGAAGGGGTGATCTCGACTCGAAAACTGTATATGAATTAATGAAGAATTCTCTTCTCATGACTACACCAAGAAAGAGTATAGGCTTGATGTATAAAGCTGATCTATTTCGCTAATGATGTGGTGTTGACTTTAGTCGCTGATGTATGTATCTCCCTGATCAACATCTAAAATACATTTCACACAACTCCTCCTCCCTACCCCTTCCACGACAACCCATACGATCGTCCATCTACTATCTCAATCGAAAAGACAACTACCGATCCCACTTCCTCAACGTCAACATCTACCAGCCTCCCGTTTGCTGTACAGGTTCCACTGCATTGATACGCATCAAACTCGATATCTCCTCGAACACTCCAATCTATCCCAATTCTTCACTAGTCCCTTGAAGCTGTAAAATAGAACATTACTGACAGATCCCTCATCATCCATGTCAAACCCAGAATCTTCATCATCGGCATCATCGTCGACATCATCATTATCGTCCATGTCCACATCTTTCTCCTTCTTTTCGCCCTTCTCGCCAATTTTTCTTCTCTTTCCATTGGATGTTTGAGCAGCAATACCGAAACCCAAACTCCTAAAACCACCTCCAAAGAAATCCGAAGTAGTATTATCACGTCTTTGTCTCTTTTCCTGTCCTTTTCCTCCAAGGAGATTCAAGCCCCAGCGATCGGCATGAAGTTCTTTGACATTGTTATCCGCCTCCAATATTGACAGTATTTCCTTGCTTTTACTATTGGCCTCTTGCGCGGATCGTGTAACAATATCTGATTGATCGGGTGATTCTTTATCTTCATTTCCACTCCCATTACCTGGGTTTGAACCATGATTTCTCCCAGATCCCGAATCTTTTTCATCTTGTCGATCTTGTGTTGTCCGTTGACGACGATGGCTGGTCCCTGATCCAGGACAATCATAATCACTTGAAGATGTCTCGCTTTTCTCATCGTCTTCCTCATCAGTTTCCGAACTTGAACTTGAATCTGAAGTTGAATCCATATTCTCTTCCTCTTCCGTATCGGAGTATCCCTCTCTCGGCTCTTGGGGAGGACCTAATATTGCTTCTCTCAAGTTTGCTTGGGAGCGCCCATCAGCGAAAGTTATGATTCTATCAACTATCAAGGGTAATCGATTCGATGTGTTAGAGACTTGACTACTGCGGGGCCGGTCGATTACTGCGAACATCATACCAAGAGAACCTCCAGCTACACGGCCACCTCGAATGGATAAATCGGATTCATTTGGGAGAAATTGAGCAGGAGGTACAGAGCCTGCAGTTAAAAGACCAGTTTGTGAGGATCGATCAGAATCACTCTCACTATTTCGAATGTCAAGTGCGGAGATTGAGGCTGATAGTATAGTAGTCATCGTCTTCCTTGACGTCGAAGATAAATCACTATGAGATATCGATGCACTAGTAAACGACGCAGTCGCCACCATCATGGTAGAACTTGACGAACTTGACAATAGGTTTTCACTTGCAAAGTTTCCCACTTCAGGAGCAACATGTGTAGCGTTTCTTGCGCTCTCAACCACTTGCATCTGCATGTATTCATCCCCACCGCCCCCATACTGATTCTGGTCCTGACCTTCAGATTCCCGAGCAATCAAGGTGGAGGAGGCCTCCAATAGTCGTGGATCGCTTTTAGAACTGTTTTCTTTTTCTTCTGCTTTCGTTGCACTGGGGGTCGCACTGGGGGTCGCACTGAGGCTCGTGTTGGAGGTGGTGGCACTGCTGATGGCCGTGCCCACGATTGTAATGGGTCGCGTGGTGGTACTGGGTTGTCTGATGGCTTCCAATATTCTTTGATCGCTCTCAGAATGCGTGTCCTCTTTCTCTGCCGTTTTTGCACTGGAGCTGGTCGCAATGCTGCTAGGGGGTTTTCTGTTTGCCATAGTGATTGCGACTGTAATGGATTACGTGGTGGGTTGGGTGTTGGCTTCCAATATTCTTTGACTGCTTTTATAACGGATCGTATTTTTCTATACTTTCGTTTCTTGGGAGGTGCTCCGAGGCTTGCTCCGAGGCTCGCTCTGGGGCTTTCACTAGAGCTGACGCTGAACCTGGGGTTGGGGCTGGACCTGGAGTCGGACCTGGGGCTGGACCTGGAGCTGGACCTGGGGTTAGACCTGGAGTCGGACCTGGAGTTGGACCTGGAGTTAGAATTTAAGCTGGAGCTGGAGCTAGCGCCGACGACGAAAGTGGTTCTAGCAGTGGCGATTGCACTGGGGCTGTCTTTTGAAACTTCTTGATCAATCTTTGAAGCCACTTCTTTGCTGTCTTCACCTGTTTTTGGCACCACTTCCTTTTCCTCTTCTTTGGCGCCAATGTCTCTATTATCGTTCTCTCCACGGCACTGACGAATGGGGGAGATGGCTTGCGTTGACATGTACGTCGCTTAGGCGAGCGTGATGCTTGTGGTGGCGACTGTACTGGCGATGCGTGTCGCGAGTGTTCTCTCGATGTTGACTGCACCGCTGTCTCTAGAGTTTTCTTTTCCTCGGCCGATTTAGACGCTTGAGATAACGTTCGTCTGACTTCCTGGTTCTCCTGATGCTCTTGAGTCTGCCGTGAATCCATCGACCGTCTCGTTCGTCACCCTGCAGACACAATAGTCTGTCACAAAATAACTAGCAAATTAAAAGCCATATATTGTCATAGGACTTATATGTACTATCACCCCCGTTGACGTTACTACAGTTGTAATTGCAGGAATGCGTAAAACAGGCGAGAGAATAGTCCTTGTTGATGGAGATGAGGCGTATGCTGCTTCCGGAGTTTGATCCGTAGGAGAGAATGTGGTGTTAATAATGACCACTTAAGTTGTGTTATCAGGAGGAGTAAGATGAATTGTATTACTAGTTGTTACCAGTGGTACAACGCTTTCAAGTGAGAATGCTCCTTGCCTAGAAATGACACAACTTCCAGTTCGCCCACGCCCACAAATGTAAGGCCAGGTGATTGTGCGTGGATGACGACCAGGCATATAATTGAGAGAAAATTGTCCTTCAGCCCTACAGTACTTTTGAATGGACTCAATTGAAAACTCGAGATGAATGGAGAAGCACTGAGGAAGTAAGTGATCAGTGAGTGACAAACTCTCAACAAATGAGGCAACGATGTAAAGAATAAGACAATAAATCTATATTCCCAAAACGAATGTCAATGAGAACAGAACCACCCTAGCAATAAGCCAGAAGCAAGAATCGTGTGAGAAAACGAATGTTATTGTTATCGTTGTTGTAAATCTGTAAGCTATGAATAAGAAGTATGTCTGTTGATGATGAGAAGAAAGAAAAGAAAAGAGAGGAAAAAAAAAATCAAAGTCCTCTCGGGTTTAAATACGATGAATTGAGTAACTAAACAAACCAAATCGCTCTTACTCCATTTAATATAGAAATAGCAAGCACATCACCGTCCACTTCTGCCCTTTCCTCCTCGATCTGTCCAAACCACATCGGGAAACCGCGATGAAGCCGAATTACGAGATCAATTCTATGAGAAACGGAAAGAGAAGAAAGAGGATTTGACTAGGAGGAGTTAAGTACAGTACTAGATACAACTAGGTAGTATATTCAGGTACGTAGGTATGCAGAGATCCAGAGCCTGAGTATTTGAGAAAGTTCAGCAATTTCGATGAAGTCAATACACTTTCCCTCTCTCCTTCGTGACGTCGAACTATCGAGCTGGATCTGGAAACCACGTTCGTCCAAGACTCCAAGTGCCGAATACCAACGATCAAGAACAACAGCAGGACTAAATACCAAAGGACACATACTCATGATTAACAATCACCACCGACCTGAAATGGAGAAAAAACTCCCCTTTCTGCTCGCTAAACAATTGGTTGCTGATACAAATTCATCACTACTATATACATCTATCCCCTCTGACTTCATTACTCATCTAATGATAGACGCGCATTAGAAGAATTGCGATGTACACAATACTTTTGTGTTCAAATATAAGGTGCGGCTATGTACAACACATGAAAAACGCACTTTCTTCCCTCTTCCGTCTAAAACGCCTGGATTCCGATCCCAACTCCGACCCTTCCCTAATCAGACTCCATATTCTAAGTATGATATCATGTGTTGTATCATTTGTATATACAATCGTCAAACTTAGCCCTTTCCCAATCCCGACCAAGCCCCCAAGGAAGATAAACAAAAGTACCCCTTCTATCACAATTCATCTTTATTTCCCTTCTTATCCCCATCCTTCCCCGCCACAATCCTCTCCAATGTCTCAAACACCTCTTCCGCTTTCTCTTCAACCTTGTCCCTGACTCTCCCTCTCCTCTTCTCCTCCTCTTTACCATCATCTTCTTCCCCTTTAACTTTATACGCCTCCTCTTCCCCAATCTCTACATTCGCCGCATACTCCGCAATCCTACTGACAACCATTTCCTCAATTTCCTCGCCCCTACCTGCCGCTACTCTCAAAATCAAATCATTCAAGCTTTGTCTCCCCAGAATATCCACATGATCTCCAGTATTTGGACCTCCACGAGGACTAAAACGATCTGGTTCGTGAGGCATTTCGTAGGTCTTAATTTTTATACCTGCTGGATTATAGCGATGGTATTTCCAACCACGATTACACATGTAACCGACACTGAGTAAATTGACGGTTCCATCACCTTCTCCAAGAATCACGCCGTGGTCTATGTTAGCTTGGGATAGACCGGTGTCGATTGTGATATTGAGGGACGAAAGGGGATTATCCGAGTGGCGATAGAAATAAGCACGTTCGGTTGGTTTAACCGATACCTGTTGAATATTAGCATTGGTAAAAGAAAAGTTTTGGAGATAGAAGAACATACCATAGAAACAATAAATCTTCAGATTTGGCGCAAGAGGTAATCTCGTTTCAAGTGGGTTGATCCATTTCTTTGGATCCTTTTCATTTGCTTCCACTTCAGCTGTAGTATGAGCTACACCATGCGAATAGCTGCCCTTGACTGCCTTACGATACCAATCTTCTGTGGTATTAAATAGATAGTCTAGAGATTGCGATACCGTAAGATTTCGATACCCCGTTGATGTGTTTTGGTTTTTGAAATTCAAAAATTGTCCATAGCTGACTTCCTGACCTGGGGTATCATCTGGTGCCCAAGTTGCATTACCCCAAACAGCATCGCCTCCAATTGGGAGCATGGAAGAGATTCCTGGCATGGCTCGAAAGAGCTCAGCTCGTTCTTCTTTATTAAGGAATTTTTCGAGGCCATAAACTGCAAATGCATTTAGTTGTGCGGTATCTTTCATCTCTCCTGATAGCACAGCAGGCAATCCCTTGAGAGCTCCAAGCATGCATCCACTAATATTGATCCAAGAATCAACATATTTATCAACCCAATCATCTCCACCGTTTCCGCCACTCGAAGATGCTACCCAATGCATAAAATAGAACAGCACTTGACCACCCATAGAATGCGAAACCAAGACCACCTTTTTATTTGAAATCTTACTCGCCAATTCGATATGCGTCTTCAATCTTGTGAAGTATTGATCTCTCACCTCCAAATTCGCGTACGACAATCTCCAATCATAAGCCGCCGTGTAACTATTCGTAGGATCGTAGCCAATCGTCGCCAAGTTCTCCAGTATTTTACTCCAAATCCAATATCCTGTTATGAAGAAATCGGCAGCGTCAAATCCTTGCGCAGCTCTCAATTTGATTCCGGGAGGATCCAGTCCAGTACGTTTGTCTAACATGATATGTCTTTTCCACCCTTCTTTGTCGGCAACCAAAGCTCTCATCATACTCCAACTTCCCCACAATCTTTTGCGAAAATAAGGCCGTGAAGCATTAGTCGTACCCCAAGATTCCAACCCCGTCGAGATAACACCTGGAACCATAATAACTGGATGATGCGCAAGAATTCCCTGCGACTTGAGATGTAAACCCACAGAGAACGAATCATAATTCACGGCTTCCCGTTCTCCCTTCTACAGACAAAGATTCATTAGCCTCACATGTAACTCAAAACCTTCCCATGCCCAACTTTCCCCCATAACCGAAAGAGGGATACAATACAGAAAGGCCAGCACCTACAGCCAGATCCTTGCATCCTTCACAAATCCCGCCGGCAACACGTCCATCAGACTATCCATAGTAATCCCCTCCAACATTTCCGGTAACTCGAGTAAATCATTCTTGCCCGCGAAGAACCCCGCAATCACCAAGCCAAAAAGTCCACCGAGGAAAAATATAAATGTATTGCGTCGTTTTCTATGTTTTCGTTCTTTATACGTGAGGACTCGAACTACGGGCGCGAGACGCACTTCTTCGCCTTTGAAGGGGGAGGAAGAACGGGTTGCTGGAATAGAGGGGGAGGGGGATGGCGTCGGAGTTCCGAGGAATAGGCGGCGGATGAGGGACATGATGAGAGAGCGAAGTTGAGAATTTGTGGGGGAGAGAGTGAGAATGAGAAGAAGTAATAAAATAAATATCAACTCATCTCTTCATTGTCAGAAAATGGAAAGTTCGAAATATGAAGAAAGGAAACTTTTTTGTTCACAAATAATTTGGGATCGATTACATCGATCCTTCTAACTTGAACCTGCCAAGCTACGTAATCGCATTGATCCCAATTGTTTGCGCTTGCTTCGGGATTGGCAGCTTAGCGGCTTGTTCGGAACTGTTTGTTTTCCGTTCTCATGATAACCTTTTTTAATTGGTTAAAAATAAAGATTGACAGGGGTACATGAGGTATTTTTACATGTGAAGAAAGAAACAAAAAGTTTCCCAAAACATCCACGTGACACATTAGAAATTCAGAAATTCAATCAAATTTTACCGAAGTTTATCCAGGAGCCAGTCCAGTCCAACTTATCGGATCATCATCATTTGTCCCGTCGTCCCCTCCATCAAGATTCATCCCATACATACTCGTACACACCTCATAAAGATACCCAGAACACACAACATAAGTAGAGACCTCACAAACAACAACTTCGATAATTTCCGCAAACATGGCATCAGAGACCAGCTCCATAACACCTATATCTACAAGCAACAAAGATTTACCAGCCGAACTACGATATATACAATATGAGCATTCACTCGAGAAACAATATTTACCCTCAATTCGAGCCCTGATATCTAAAGATTTGAGCGAACCCTATAGTATCTATGTGTATCGATATTTTCTATACCAATGGGGAGATTTATGTTTTATGGTATTTGCCCTTTTTCCTTGTCCCCCCAAATAGACAAACAATCAATATATCAATTCACTTCCAAATCAAACTAACATTCCCCAGGCACTCGACCCCTCTCTCCCTCTAACCCCCACAACTACCCCCCCTCTCCACGGCATCCTTATCGCCAAACTCGAAACTCATTCCTCACACTCCCCACCCACCCTTCGCGGATACATAGCCATGCTCGCAGTTTCATCCTCATTTCGCGGTCAGGGCATCGCAACCAAATTGGTGAAACTGGCAATTGATGCGATGGCCGCCAGAGGAGCAGATGAAATAGTTCTAGAAACTGAAGAGGGGAATGCGGCCGCAATGAGATTATATGAACGACTGGGATTTGTGAGAAGTAAGAAGTTGAATAGATATTATTTGAATGGGAGTTGTGCGTATAGATTGGTGCTGCATTTGAAGAGGGTAGGCGACATGAGTGGGATGGTGGAGGGAAGGGATGAGGATTATGTTTGAGGTCTATTCGTGAGGGAATATGAAACGACTATTGATGGTGAAAGACCAATCTTCGAACGTCGAGTACTATCGCAGAGTAAGAGAGGCTTGGAGGTAAGGATGGGAACGAAATAGAGGTAGCGATTGGGGTCCCGGTGACAACGGGAGAAACGCTGAGGATATACAATGGGATTTTGTATTGAGTTTCATACCGCCATCTCACCATATCTGCGCCAACACGCCGGTCAATTAATAAAAGAGGATGTCTGGACAACTTGTCAGTCAAGAAAAGTTCCGGAGACAGCGAGGGCAAGGAAGAAGAAGCTAGTCAGTTCAGATACGGGCCCGCCCCTATCATCTTTGAATAAAGAAGGGTAGTAATCGACCAAAAGAGTAAGTAAAGGTTGCCCACTATCCGCAAGGGATATCTGTAGCAGTTAATACAGGAAGATAGTAGACAACTCCAATCTTACCTGCTTGTACCCAAAGTAAATATCTGTAAATTCCAATTCCAAACACTTCATTCGTCAAACTCCATGCTTGAATTCAAACTCGGGGAATTTCAGGACGATGCCTACTTCCAAGACGGCAGGTAGCAGCTCATGTCATATCATTCTCCTCGCCATCTCCTAAGAATTATAGATAAATAGGTACCTAGGGAGGTACCCAATAGAAACTTTAAAAGAAATATATATACCTCGCTACAAATCCCCAGCTACAAATCCCCAACTCACTACCTTCTCTCTACATCCGATCTAATCTAATATATCCTCTTCCATTCTATTTCCCTGTATATAACAAACGAAAAATACAAACTACCTAGTCACATAATAGATAGTTCTGATCTGGAAAATTTGTATTTGTATTTGTATATGAGATATCTAGCGAATAACTCGTGACTGGCAAATAGCTAGCTATCTATTGGTGTTTCACAGAGATCGTCATTTATGTAGGCAGGTACGCATATTTCTATCCCCTCCCCTCCCCAATTTTACCCGCACCATCCACGATCGCGAAGTGAAGAGGAAATTGCCATTCGCTTGGATTATATCGAAAGTGTGGTTTTGATAAAACGCACATGTTACCAGGTATTTACTTTGCAAATGCATCCATCCTACAATCCTAGCTATAGCTAGATCTCTGAATTAGAGACCCTCTGGAAGAAGATATTTTGAATCCCGAATCGATTCGTTGTAGCTACCTAGCTCCACAAGTGTCGTGGCGGGAGATCATTCATAGTAATGAGATTGTTATTGATCTCAACACCTTTCCAAGACCTCAGAGCGCCGGGGGAAAAAGAAAACGTGCTTACACTCCTTGAACATTCCCTTCTCAAGAATCCCCATATTCACATTCATCCTCAAGCTAGACCGTAATTCAAGCCTCTCAATTTCTCAACAAACTCAGCGTCTCATTCATAATTAACCTGATGCATAGCCAAATCACTTGGTTCCTTCTTAATTTTTCGAAAGAACGAATCCACCTTCCCATTTTCCTTTTTGAAAGTGCGGGATCTCAATCCAGGGGCTGTGGATGGAGGAAGAGGAGGATTTTTGAAAAATTCAAAGGAGTTGTAGAGAGAGGCTTTGATATCGTAGGGATTGTTGGAGGAGAGTTCTAGGTAGGTGTACACATCTGATATCCCAATCATTAATCTCGTTTCCCCAACGCAACTTAGTCTAGCTCCTCGATAGAATATGGAGAGATGAATGGGGTTTACTTACCGGCTTTGTAATAAATTGCGCCCTTTAGAGTTCGGTCAACCAACCCTAATTCTCGGATGGCTTTCAAGACTCGATACACATCCATCTTGTCGGAGAAATCCTCGGTGTAGATACATATGAGTCTTGATTTTTGGAGTAGGTCGGCTCCATCTTTGGGTGCTACTTTAGCGGATATACCGAGAGAATTGGTCGAGGTGGCCTTGGCAATTGCGGCCCAGATTTCGTCTACTTCGGAGGGAGGAGAGAATATCATCCACTGGGGAAGAGTTAGTATTAGAGTTAAAACATGGATGTGGTAGGGAGGGAAGATGGGAATATCTGGCGATTCGGATGTATATCCGATATGTATTGAGGGTTATCCGAGAACTACTTGGACACTAAACAGAGGGGCAAGAAGCTAAGATACCCGGTGCAATAACATAAGCGAGATACAATACATGCCTTCCCACTAGTACATCCACAATCAATAGCTGTATCTAGAATTCTCTGGATAATGATCTCTTTCTCTTTATTTATCATTCGATCGATTGCAACTGTGGACTTCTTCGAGTTTTCTTTCTCGATGTTATTCCGAATAGTGATCAGCTCATCAAGTAAACGATTACCCTCAGTTACACATCTCGCCCAGCTATTTACAAGATTAGTATGTGAAATATGCATCTTCAAATTCTCTTGGTCTTGCTATCCAGTATCACTCACTTAGAATGTTCACCAGGAGGGGCTTCATCGTTTACCGCAATGCCTTTTGGAGCCTTCCGAAAAGGATTGGTAACAAATATCCACGGAGTTGATGGAGTAACTTCAGTAGTTCTTGGTGGCATTCGTCGCAAGAAATCATCAATACTCTCATCAAGTTGCCATGCACATGCTTGACCTGCATACGGATTATACAGAGTCGCTTTGGACTCTGGATTTGCAAGGGCATGGGCAACATTGGCATCTGCCTTTTCGGTCAAAGTTGGTCGACGACTTTTCCAATATGCTGTAGCGTCGAAGTCTGCAGCACGATCTTCGAAGGAAGCTTTGGTCTGGGAATCACCTGATGTGAGGGTTAGTAGTGAGATGAATGAGGCGTCATGGTTGAATTACCATAGAAGTCTGATTCATCTGATAGATAACCCTCGTTGTCTGATACTTTGGTTTCTTTTCCATTCGCCATGATGTTTTTGGAAGACACTTTCTCACACGAACTTTCGGGTGACAAGTGAGTGAAGTCGAAGTTGGAAATTGGAGAAACACGTAGATGAATGATTGATATGTACACGTAAAAAGGATATGATATGACCACTGAATCAACGAATATTAAATAAAGGTAATAGTAATAGTATTAAGATATGTATGGAAAGAGATGTATCAATTAATAAATTGGACGGAAGATTTCAACTTTGGAAGTGTTGAGGGGAATTCACTTCAAGGAAGGTTATGCACGGACCACAGAATGCTGTCTTTTGATGGGCATCCAAATCTTGCTTTCTATGACGAGAAGCAGAGATGTTTTGAGTCAATCAAGATATTGAGCTTGTAGAACGTTCGAACGTTTGCTGATGGGTGTTTGGATCTGATGCTTTGGAGTTTGAGGATAGGTAGTCATTGATATTGAATTCCATATTGGAATGATATTTCCACCTGGAAGTAATCATCCCCTAGACCTTTCAACAGCAAACATGACCCGCATACGTTTTCCTCCAGGGATGGAGGAAGCAAACACCCGAATGCATAGCAAACCACAGGGGATCGTAGATGTTTGCAGATGTTTGGTGAAGAAGCAGTACGGAGTATATATGGAGATATGGTTATGAAAGAAGTGGAAACGAAGCGGACATTGTGTGGTACTTATTTTACCTCGATCCGCCGCTGCCCCTCAATATATTGGAGGCGGCGAGCGGGATATATAGGAAGGATGAAGATTGATGCGCAAGAGAGAATCCATTGGGTACCTACCTAGTAATAAGCCTTGGTGACTTTGTGACTTCTTGTTCTAGATCTCGCAATTAACCCTTCTGGTGACTTCATCGCATGTGGTGGCGGTGCAATGTGGCTTGAATTCACAATACTTTTCCTTGGAACCGTTTAAACCTTGAGACAAGATCGCAATAAAAAAACGAAACATTTAGAACAGACATCTCTTTCTCTCATTGCACTTACTATATTGCTAGGGAAATCTTTTATGAGAAACAAGTTCTCCATGCCAAAACCCCATCAATCAATCAAAGATGGCCTCAAAGATCGAAGTTCTTGATTCTGATCTCTTGGACCTCCCTCCAAGTTGCATAGAGTTCTGGCCAAATAACCCTTCATGGTTCGTCATTGGTACCTATGAGTTAGATAAGGAAGATGAAGACTCATGGGTAAATGTTGAGAAGGCTTCGAGTGAAGTCGTTGTGAATACAGACCCTTTTCCCAATAAAGAAGGAATAATCTCTTCAGCTCCTTTGAGTTTAGTCGATTATTCTCACGAACCACTTGTTTTTGTCGAAGACAGCGATATTATTTCGGAAGAATCGAAAGACCAGTCAGAACCTCCATCGACTCTCCAAAAAAGAAATGGAAGTGTAATGCTATATCATCTTGAGGATGGTTCCTTGTAAGCATCATTCACGAGCGTATGTCCTTCTTGTCACCTCTGATATGATTAGAACCCTTTGCCAATCACGTCCATATCCATATGGCGCGATTTATGATCTTCACTTCTGTCCCACAGACCAAGATTATTTTGCAGTTTCCTCCAGCACGGGCAAAATATCCCTCTTCAAAATAACGACTAATGAGGATACTTCTCCCAATATCGAACACGTCAATACATGGAAAGTATTTGATGATTCCGTTCTGATCACCTATTTTGCATGGTGTCCTTCAACATCCACAGATGGCTACCTATCTTTAGCTGTAACGGCTTCAACCGGAGTCGTTCAGATACTTAACATTACTGGCGCTATATATGGCAAGATACACGGTTCGGACTTACACATGAGGAAGGAAGAACCGCCAGTATCATTGCATTCCTTGAAAATCCCATATTCTAGCGAGGAGCCTCAATATGCATATTGTTGCTATTGGACTTGTCATCCTTACACATCTTCCGAAAATTTCCACGGGATCTTTTCAGGAGGCGATGATTCGAAACTCCGAACTTGCATTCTAGGAAATCCCCGTAATAGGGATAACCATGTTGATTTGAATTTGCAAACGTCATACTCGGGGCATGATGCTGCTGTTATCTCTATTTTACCATTACCATGTGGGGGTAAAAGATGGATTCTCTTAACTGGTAGTTATGACAATAAAGTCAGAGTCATTGTCATGGAATGGTCCCACGGCCCAGTAACGTATGATCAGCTTGCAGAGGAAACACCAATCGATGTTGTAGCAGATTTGGATGTTGGAGGTGGAGCATACCGACTTGAATTCCTCCACGAATATCCCAGACCAACCGAAGACGAATCCAGAACTGAGTCCAGCGATGACATTTCCTTCCAAGTACTAGCGTCATGCATGGAAGTTGGCGCAAAAATCCTAAAAGTAGAACGAAAGGATACCATCTGGAGCGTTAAAGTCCTCGCATCCATTAATATTGAAATTCCCAAATGGCCAAACCCAACCAACAAATCTCAATTATGTTATGCCAGCGCAGTTCAGCCTGGTAGAAGAGATGGAGGTCTGGTATTCCTAAGCTCCTATTTCAATAAGAGACGACTTAGTGGCACCCCGAAAAAAGTACAGCCTACTATCACGAATGAAGATATGATTTTTGTTAGCACGTGTTTTAACAAGCGACAGTTGGGTGTTTATAAATTTGTGGAGGGGGGTAATGATGAGATTGACGAGATTGCAGCTGGAGTTGAGGCTCTTTGAGCATGAAAATCTTTGAATGATGGAAAAATTGGAACATCATATTCTTAGTACTCACATTGTCCAAACTCTGCGGTTAATGAGCCATCGGATGAAAGCTTGTTGGTGGATATTGCCGGTAATATCACCAGCATCAAAATGGGTACATCGCATGCCGACAGGCATAAAATCTTTGGGAATCGATCTTAAAAAAGGAACATCTGTATGTAGCTAAATATTCTGACCCCGAAAAGTACTCGAATTATATTATGTATAGCAATGCAATTTGCTTGACGAGAAAGTTTTATGTCAAATGAATCCTACTCACTTAGCACACAATTCCTTCTGAACCCAAAATCTCCTTAATAGGATAATTACAATACCACCAAAAATAATACATACAATCCGTTTCACCAATCTATCCATCTCGTACGTATATTCTAGGCTTCACCATATAAACCAATCACACACTCCCGAGATCAGGCTCCTTCATAAGCACCAATCGTATTAACCGAGCACCAGGCCACCACGTTTTACCATATTATCGGCTACGCCGTTTCCCCCCGTTCTTCTTCATGTACATCATGCTTCCTTACTTGGCAAGGCGTGAGATTATAAAAGAGGGGTTGGGGAATATGTATATCATACTCGCGTAGACGAAAATTATCAATTTCTTTTCGTGCGGTTTTGAGATACCATTTTGTGTTTTTCTGTCATCTAGATTTATACCGTCTCTCGTTTAATACAAATCATCAATACACCCTACACGCCCCCTATACAAAGCCCTCTCCCACCATGGATGCAGTACCCACCACCCCGTCTTCCTCCCCGCCCCCCTCCCCCCCGTCCCGCACCCCGCTCCCTCGGCCAAAACATGGCTCACACAATCGGAGTCTTCCAAGCACTCATTGCGTTCCCCGTGATGATACATGCGGGCGTATTTACATTTTGGTGTTTAACGCTGGATGCCAATTTTACAATTTATGAATTTGTGTATGTCTATTTGTACTCCTCCATGAAAATCTTGTTTCACATTTTTTGATTCCTCCCCCCCCTGCGTTTCTCCCTCACTCATGATAACTCACAACACACCCTAGAAACTCCCTCTCAAATGCCTTCTTTTCCGCTTCGATATTGTTCATTATCATCACTCAACGAGGGGGGAATAGTGGGGATATCAGTAAAGAATTTATGGTCTGGTTAGAAGTGGCAAAGAGCGGTTTTGCGAGTGCTGTTTGGCTTTGGTTACTTTTCGTAAGTTTTACTTTTTTTATGTTTTTGAGAGTTTGTATGTGGATAGAAAGAGCGAAAGAGAGAGGAGAGGAAAGGACTTTGTGCAAATTCGTACTAGGTGGTAAGAGTCCTGAGCTAATCCAACTTCATAAAATAATAGGATAGCATTTTTGGTCCCGTCCATAACTCCTATAATCAACCGCAATCGCGAACGCCCCGAATCGCACAGGCGATCATTAGTTTTCTTGGTTTACCGTATGTGTATCCCTCTTTCTGTTCCATTCGTTCACCTATTCTCTTATTTCTACCTTATCACCCTTCTTGGGGTTTTTTTCTGTAATATCTCATAGAATCCTAATAACAGAACACACTCCCCATTCAAAACTAATTTAACCCCCCTCACCCCCAAAATAGTTTCCTCTTCTACTCTACTCTCGCCTTCGCTATTTACGATCTCAAAACAAGTCGGGAATCCGAACTGAATGTGAATGCAGGGCCAGCAGGGACAGAAGTGAATGTAGATGAAGAAGCTGCTGTGGGAGAGAGATCGCCTCTGTTGAGTAGGGAGTAATTCTCTAATATAGAATGTTGAGTGCGTTTAACAATTTGGGTTTGCGGGATGGTTGTATAGATGGATTGGAGAAAGTGAAATTGGGAAAAGGAAGAGAGATGAGGGAAGAGAAGATAATGAGCATCAAAATACTGAAGAAATGTGATATAGAGAGCATTGCAAGGTTTGTGACAGCGGCATCATGTGGAAAAGGAGAGGCAACAAAGTGAGATTAGAAATTTGAAACGGGTATCATGTTGGCTATAACATTTCAATATCGCCAGTGCTGCCATTAAATCCGTCAATCTCTAACCCAGATTCGTTGGTTCGATTGTTGCGAGCTTGAGTGTTGCTCCTATGCAAGACTCACTCTAATCTAATTTTCTAAGAAGGATTCCAAATGATCCCACCAATCTTGGATCGCGAGATTTCGATTCCATAGACATCTTTCTCTGAGGTTGTGTTCACTACTCAGACAGTCAGACTTATGCCACTTGACAAGCACAATTCTATCAGCAATCATCATCTAAACCTGGAATGCAACTACATAATCTTCATTTATAAATGAGCAGTTAAGAACAACGTTCTACATTCATCAACTAATTTAACGGCATAATTTTTCCTCAAACTCCAATATGAATTTTATCACCTCAACCAAAAGATATCTCAATCATCCTGCACCACCCTAAATTTATGCCACCATTGCATTTAAGCAACAAGTTTCAATCCACTTCCATTCTTACCAACCTCACAGACACCACATACTGCACAAACAGTACCCTTATATTTTGCTTGATATTTGCTACCATCGAATGCGCAGACTTCGAATGGAGAGCCAGAGTAAATAGGTGTGTGAGAGGCAGCACAGACATCGAATTCAGCAAATTGATCAAACTCAATTTCATGGGTATCGTTGGGGTTGCGTTCACAATTAGCCTTAATCTTACGAGCCTAAAATTTTTGTCAGTTGATATTATTAAATAGTGGTGGGAGGCTGCTTACATTCTCAAGAACCTTGGCACTTCCACCGTTTGCCAACATCCTGTTGGCGAAGCTCAACGCGGAGTTATAGTTCTTGCTGGTGAAAGCCAATTTCATCGCACTCGTTAAAGCTAATTGTCTATGAACAACCTCCAACTTGGGAATAGTGAAATAAGCTGACAATTCCAAACTGCGCTTGAGTTTCTCTGGTGATTTTGAGATTTCATCAGCAGTTCCAATCTTCCGCCTCGAGATTTCGATAGCCATTGCTATACTATATTCTGATGCTGTCGTGATGAGTTTCTTTGCCTCTGATACCTCGGAAGCGGTTGAGACAGCGTTCACAAGCAGAGCATGAAGGATGCCCTTGAATATGGTAGCGCCATCTTCAAGTTTGTTTTGTCGCATGGCATCGTATCCTTTCTGTAAGTCGATGGTTGCTAATGATTCGATATCTCGTGGAATGATAGGAAGAACCTTACGAGGATCTGTCTCATCAACTGTTCGTCGAACATAATTGACCAAAGGCGAAAGACTTGCGGACGCCGGGAGGTAAGTCTTTGATGCTTGGTAAATTTCCATGAATCTAGGTTTCAAAGGCTCGAAGTTGACGGCGCCAAGTTGACGATTGAGCAATTGCATTGCAGTTTCGAAAGAACCGCCAGCAACGTGATCAGCAGCGATAGGAGAGTTGCGAGCCCATAGATCAGCCTCACTGCTACCAGCGCCAGCCTCTGCACTATCAACATTGACAAAATCATTCTCAACCTCGGGGACGATATCATCGCCCATATCCCATCCTGCAGCATCTTCATCATCATCATCGGCCTCAATGAGAGCACCAGTCTTGGCTTCATCATTTCCAGCTTCGTCAAAACCGAATCCATTTGCAGCAGCGGAAGGTTCATCCTCTAGGGAGAGACCCTCGACTTGACCAAGAAGGGCTTTCTCGAAGAACGATTGCGAAGTTGCCTTTGTTGGCCAATTTGCCTTGAAGGTGGGGATGACAGGTTTGGGAGGGGTAAGTGGCGATCCGAGGGTAGGCAATGTGATTTGATCTTCGGTGAGGCCAGTGGCCTCGAGAATTGACTCGCATTCTTCTGTAAAGCCGTGCGATTTCGCGGTCATATAAGCAAGTGGATCTAATCTGGATTAGTATTTGTATGTGAGTAGCGACGTATTTAATGGAAACTTACAAAGGTCAATCTCCTTGAACATCTGTATCCTATCCTGGACATCTCCGAGGTATAAAGCGTTCTGGAAACGGGCAGTGAAATCGCCACGATGTTCCGCAATTTTGGCCATTCTCGTTAATTTTGCTTCGTCTCCAGTGGCCAGATACAGGAACGACAATTTGTCAAATTGTCGCAACTTCTGATACGTCATCTCAACAATTTGGTGATTACCGTGAGCCAGAGCTTCCGCTGTTAATCTGGACCACAACTTTGGTCGGTCCAATTGCTTTGCCATTTCAACTGCGACTTCCAAGTTACCACACTCGATTGCCAATTCAAATCGAGTTTGTGGATCTTGTACGAATTGTAAGGCAATCTCTGGGTAACCCTTCTTTTGCAAATAAGAGATGATACTTTGACCAACCAGACTGGAATTCTTGATGATTTGCAACATCTCCTCATAGTTTCGCTTCACAAGGGCAAGCTTGAAACGATACTCAGTAGGATCAATATTCAGAATCTTTGGCTTAGCACTTCGGTCCAAACAGTACATAGTACGTGCTTTAACCCTGACAAGATAGACGGTTTGATCGAGGGTGCGAACGATACCATTGTCTCCGTTCAATAAAGTGTATTTAATGTGATTCAAAGTTGAGTAAAGAAGAACGCCTGCATCATCCCAGGTTGCACTCTTGATGCGGATGGTTTCGTGAAGGGTGCTGACTTGTTCTAAGGATTTTGTGACAATCGTGACATTATGCTTGCTCAAGAGAGCTGCGTATAAACCATCGTTAGACCAGACAACATACTTGACACCTGATACAGCAAGTTCAGCAGTTGCTTTCTTTTGCTGGATATCATATAAATGAACAGCAGTGGGGGTAATCAACAAAAGATTACCAGTTCCACCAAAGTAAATATCGGTAGTTCCATTTGGAGGCTTGATGGTCTTGGTTGTGGAGTTGGAAAGATCTTTGATATCGATTTGTTGAGTTGTAGCATTCAAAACGGCGAATCTGTTTCGTGCTACAAAAACAGCAGAAGTACCTTGGCCTCGCTTTGTGTCATTTGAATCCATTGAACCGGCTCCATCTCTAGGAAGATTGATGAGTTCATATGAACCGCCATCTGCAGGAGAAGTGACAAGACAGCTCTTCGGCTGGGTTGTAGGAAAGTATCTAGGTGGGACCCAAGGGCTTCCAAGTTTCTTCAAGGTCAAGAGTGTTGGACTTTCAATATTCTTTTGGAAATCATAAGATTTGACATGTTTATCCTTGGTGATGTAAAAGAGGTTGTTCTGATAGAAGGCAGATGCTGGGCGTTCTCGCTCAAGTTTGAATACCATGACACCATTATCGTGTCCAGCAGCAAAAAGGTTTATCTCAGGGTGAGCTGCAATGACCCAAAATCTATCATTCTCTCGCTTGAATGACTGTACCGATGTACGTTTATTGAGATCCCAAACTCGGATAGTTTTATCTTCGCCAACTGACAAGATCAAATCCTGATGAGGGTGGAATAAGCATCCAGATGCGTTTTGGAAGTGCCCCCGGCAGGTATCGACTTCCCATGCCTTTGTTTCGCTCATTCGCCATAACTTCACAAGTCGATCGTCACCAGCAGATACGATCAGAGGTAAGGTTGGATGGAAAGCTACCCAATTCACACCTCTATCGTGTCCTTCAAGTACGAATTTGACTACAGCATCGGTATTTCCAAACATATCTGCTTGGGCCTGGTTCCCTCTTGACATCTGGTCTTCGAAAGTCATAGAAGTTGGCGCCGAGTGTTTCTTTCGCAAGCCTGAAATATCCCAAACTCGAACCGATTGATCAAGGGATGCAGAAACTACCAAATCGTCTTTGGGATGGAATTGAGCGCACATTGTGTAATGATTGTGACCGGTCATTGTGCAAACTGAGAAGAAGATTAGTATCGTATGCGAATACAATGTTGAGCCATTCCCAGCTTACTTAGAGAGCGATTCTGCCAGTTCCATATCCTAATAGTTTGATCGTCCGAACTGGAAATGATCCAAGGAAGCTCATGATGAAAGAAAACTGTGCGAACATAATCTAAATGACCATTCAAGGTAAATAGACATCTACGAGTCTGCAATGACCAGACCTTAATCTTGTAATCATCACCACCGGAGACAAAGAGGGGTTGTGTCTTGTGGAAGTCAATTCCTCGAACTGGCCCATCATGCTCTTCAAATCTATCAATCAATGTTCCCATGCGATAATCCCATAGCTGAATGGTCGAAGAGTGTAAAGAAACTAGAATCCATGGCCTATGAATATAGTTAGGTATAGGTGTTGCGCATTGAGTTTGTGAACGAACCGTTTAGGATGGAAAGCAATGCCCTTTGCTCTGGAAGATTTCGACTCGAACTTATATACGTGTCAGTATTATAACCCATTGGATGAGCTTCTTAGTTTAAGGGCAAGATGTCGCGACGTACCTTCGTCAGCATCGTAGGGGAGGAATTGGAATTAGATGCCATGTTGACCGATGCTCTGAATGACGAACAGCCCTATACGTTGCGCATCAAGTAACTGGGCGAATTAAATTAATCTTCTCCTAATATGACACTTTCTCAAGTACAGTGCACAGTATTCTGGAGAAAGACGTAAGAAGAAAAGATATCCGGTGGTTTGTTTGAAATTAAGGTAAAGTACAGGAGGATATGGTATCAAACATCGAAGCGTGTGAAATGCGACGTTGCTGTTTCCCGCAAATAAGGCATCAACGCACTCAATTGACAAGGCTGCCACCCAATTAGCACCAAAAGCTTCACCAGCCACAGGAGCTCGAAACAATCCTGAACCACTTTTGGTTGGAGCTCTAGATTATGGAAATCTGTCCCTTGAGGGGAATGCGATAAGACCTCAATTCTGGTCAGCCTTGTCTATAATATCTTCATATTCTACGAGTAAGGAACTTTTCAAGTGAATTTTGTTTATGATATTTATGCTGCTCATGTCTCAAATTTGATAATACATCGTAAACTTTCTTTTTGTCTTGATCTTCAGGCGGACAATAGCTTCAAAGAGTTGTCTGCCATCGTTAGCCTTATTAGCCTTATCTCTAGCTTGGGGAAGCTCCCCTATGAAAGACCGGATAGAGGAGCGTCTTTCAACACCCAGCCGAAGGTTTTAGAACTCCACAGTCAAGATGGGAGGCTTCACTTTGCCATGGGGACTCTCGGGAGCTCTATTGGCATCTACATATCTTCATTCCATCTGTGTTTCTGCTAGCCCATCCATCAATGTTGGCTTGCAAACATCCTTTCCCTCAGCCCCATATCTCCTTGAGCTGCTGTATGTTTAAATCTCCTTAGAGTGTCTTTCTAGCTATACTGATATTCGTGTAGGGAAACTGCAGCAACGGAAAATGCATCCTCGTACTTCCCTCTCCTTGACCGGATTGCAGACGGCTATTTTGCAAAAGCATCCACCGACAAAGACCTATATGACAAGTTTATAAAAGTTCTGACAGAAGATGGTCATCTGGATCCGGAGGCACTTTCATCATACAAGCTTGCATTGTCAATGAGAGTGGCTGCACCGCGCATTGAAGCACAATTCCAATATTACCACACTGCCGCAGAGGCATCTATACAAACAGAGCAAGATTCATCCTGTCCAACATGGGTGCTCTTTGATGGGCATCAGTATTGTTCTCCCACATTGGATGAGCCTCATGGAACCGTGACCGGCGATTCGTGAGTTTTGAGTGATCAAGTAATATCATCAGGTGGCTAATAGTTAGCTTATAGACAAACACAAGAACTACCGTTTGACTATGTTCTCGGGAATCCTACGGGACCCCATTCCATATTATATGCTGATATAACATCCTCAACATTTGGTTTATTCCACAAAACCTTGGTTAAAACTGCCCGTGAAGGCAAAACATCTTATCGTCTCCGTCATAGGCGAGCGATCGATGCTGGCTCGAATAAGCCTCTCATGATTCCGGGCTATGGTGTAGAACTCGCCCTTAAAAGAACTGACTATATAGTTATTGATGACCGCAAAGATGACGAGGGAACAACTAAATCCAAGACCGAGGCCAAGGTCAAGTTTGAAGACGAGGAGGTAGCTGATCTCAAGCCCCTCTCCACATCAGAGCTTTCTTCACTGGGGCTCAAAGCATCTAGTTTTGTTATGCAGAGTGACAAGCCATTTGATTCCCTCATCAAGCTTTCACAAGACTTTCCAAAACATTCCAGTGCTATAAGTTCACACAACGTCTCTTCCGACTTCTTTGCGGAGCACAATTACAACGCGGGCAAATTGGTCCCCCGCTGGTATCAACGTATGGTGGGTGAACGGTGTACAGATGATTGATCGTCAGATTGATGCTATAAGTATCCTGGATATCTTACGAAAGGAAAGAAGACTGATCAATGGTGTTCGTGATCTTGGATTGACAGGACCTGAAGCTGTTCAGTTGCTTTCCCATTCTAGCATTTCCGAAGCTAAGAGTGATGGAGACGTTCAGAGATTTGATTGGAGAGATGAGATTGAGGGAGGTAATGTTATCATGTGGTTGAATGACATCGAAAAGGATAAACGCTACCAAGAATTTCCCGAGACTCTTGGCGCTTTACTCCAAAGAACATATCCTGGCCAGCTACCTTCAGTCCGCAAGGAAATTTTCAACTTGGTTATACCAGTGGATTTCAGCACGATAGAAGATGTCGCACTCGTCGCTGAAACACTTGCAAGCTTCGTCAAAAGGAAGTTAGTCCTCCATATCGGGCTTGTTCCAATCACCACTTCTCCAGCCGCTGTAGAGCAAACAAGAGTCTTGTATCATCTTTTGGATGTTTATGGACTCTCTGGAGCTATTGCTTATCTCGAGGCTTCCGTCGTGCATGGGGCAGCTAGCCCCACTGAAAAGTCTTTCCAAGCCGCTATCGAGGGTCGAGAGGTTCGAGCCGAGAAGATAGCAATTCCTCTTGTAGACTTGCTGAAGTCAGATCATTACAATGATCAAATTGATGCTGCAAGCCGCTGGACCACAAGACTATCTGCGAATGGCGACTTTCCACCAATCTTTGTAGATGGAGTTGCGCTCCCCAGAGACGAAAATTGGTTGCAAGCAATGGTTCAGCGACTCACCGCAGACTTGCAAGTGATTCAGCAGGGAGTTTTCAACGAGATATTCACCCAAGAATCTTACATCCCAGACTTCTTCCTCTCTGAAGCAACGCCACGACGAAACTCCATTATAGTCCCAGAAAGCGACAAGAATCTGAAGATAATTGATGTTACCACTCTTTCGAAGCAACATGAAGATCTTCTTTCCAAATTGCCTAAGATTGGATCAGATTCGGCATCGCCTAAGGAGGATTGGGCTCATATGATTTTGGTAGCAGATTTATCATCCGCTTCTGGTTTAGACCTCCTTTTATCCGCGGCTTCATTTCGAGAATCTGTTCCAGCTCTCGAGATTATCATCGTCCATAATTCCCCCGGTGAAATGGAAACATCGGATTTCAGCACCTATTTGTTTTCACATATCCAGAAGAATTCAGACAAACCACTTGTGGACACACAAATTTTGCCTAGTTTAGTGAGCCCTGAAGGACCTGAATTGGATCTTACGACTCAAAATTCCGCAAGGAATTATTGGAAGGAAGCCGGTCCATTGGTCCGAGCTGCAGGCCTATCTCCAGGTGAAAATGCAATCTTGCTTAATGGACGGCTTGTTGGGCCAATACCTGCTGGTTCCGAACTTAACCAAGAAGACTTTGAGCAGTTGATCTCATACGAACGTGCCAAACGCATAACTCCTGTTTATGCTGCTATGCAAAGTCTCGGATTGTCAGATAAGATTGCTGATCCTTTAGCTGGTGCCAAAATCTCCTCGATGGTTGCATTGTCATCTGTATCAGATACACCCGATGGCATATTTGAGCAAGCACCAACTAATAGAATCAGTGCATTCGACGTTTGGAACTCTTCTTATACATCCATCGAAACAGGAGATTCGTCAACTGCAACCATACATATGACTGTTACTATCGATCCAGCTAGCGAACAAGGACAGAAGTGGGTTCCAATCGTGAAGGCTATATCTGAACTTGAAGGAGTCTATCTTAAGATGTTCTTAAACCCCAAAGAACGTCTCCAAGAGCTTCCCGTCAAGAGATTTTATAGATATGTTCTAGATTCGAAGCCTAATTTTGACGACGAAGGTGCTTTGATCGAGCCTGGTGCCTCGTTCACTGGTGTGCCACAGGAGGCCTTGTTGACTGTCAAGTTGGACATACCACCAGCATGGCTAGTTGCCCCTAAAGTTTCTATCCACGATCCAGATAACATCAAACTCAGCTCTATCAAGGCTGATGTAGATGCATTATATGAGCTTGAGCATATTCTCATTGAAGGTCACTCGAGGGACATGCCATCTGGTAGTCCTCCTCGCGGAGCACAGCTCATTCTAGGAACCGAAAGAGACCCACACTTTGCCGACACCATAATCATGTCTAACCTAGGGTACTTCCAATTCAAAGCCAATCCTGGATTTTACAAGATTGATCTACAGAGTGGAAGAACATCCGAAATATTTAAAATTGATAGCATAGGCTCAAAAGGATGGGCGCCTGTTCCTGGTGATAGTACCACAGAAGTTGTTCTCATGAGCTTTCAAGGAGCCACTTTATATCCTCGTCTTTCTCGCAAGCCTGGTATGGAAGGAGAAGATGTCCTTGAAGCTAAGGTTGAATCTGCAATGGATTACGTCTCCCGAGGATTAAACTTTGCGCAAGGCATCTTAGGTAGCAAAACAAAAGCTGCTGCTGCGGTGGAAGAACAGGCCGAGATCAACATCTTTTCTGTTGCTAGCGGTCATCTTTATGAGCGTATGCTGAATATCATGATGGTCAGTGTCATGAAGAACACGAAGCACACGGTAAAATTCTGGTTTATTGAGCAATTTCTGTCCCCATCTTTCAAAGATTTCATTCCTTATCTTGCCGCAGAATATGGCTTCAAGTACGAAATGGTGACGTATAAATGGCCTCATTGGCTTCGAGGACAAACTGAGAAGCAACGTGAGATTTGGGGCTATAAAATCCTCTTCTTGGATGTTCTTTTCCCATTATCCCTCGACAAGGTTATCTTCGTGGACGCCGATCAAATCGTTCGTACCGATATGATCGAGCTCGTAAATCATGATCTCCAAGGTGCACCATACGGCTTCACTCCTATGTGCGATAGCAGAACCGAAATGGAGGGTTTCCGTTTCTGGAAACAAGGCTACTGGGAGAAATTCCTTCGCGGCTTACCATACCATATTAGTGCCCTTTACGTCGTGGATCTCCGCCGATTCCGCCAGATTGCTGCAGGAGATCGTCTTCGCCAACAATATCAATCTCTCTCTGCAGACCCAAATAGTTTGTCAAACTTGGATCAAGATCTACCAAACCATATGCAACAGGTTCTTCCTATCCATAGTCTACCGCAAGAATGGCTTTGGTGTGAAACTTGGTGCAGTGACGAGAGTCTTAAAGAAGCGAGAACGATTGATCTGTGTAACAATCCGTTGACCAAGGAACCGAAGTTGGATAGAGCAAGGAGACAGGTACCGGAGTGGACATTGTATGACGATGAGATTGCCGCTGTTGATAAGAAGAGAAAGGGAATTAATGTGAATGGAAACGAGAGTGCGGAGGGTAGAAATACGAAAAGTAGAACATTGGAGGAGACGGTGGACACAAAAACTAAGAAAGATGAGTTGTAGATTAGCTGGAATAGAGAATTAGTCTTCGTATGATGAGAAAAATATTACCCTATTTGTCTTGATCCCTTTGTTTGCGTGCTTGTTTGCTTCGTTTTCTTGATATTTCAAGCTTCATCATTGCAGTATTAAATGAGGAGTGTTAATAGTTACACAAGCATCATTGACTCAAGCCTTTGTATATGATACCTATGCTTTAGTGTAACTGATCCCCGTGTTTTCATCCCGCATTGCCTGACTGCAGTACAAGAATGAAGTAAGAAATAAGTATGATTTGTATGAGTTATGGAGCAGTTATTCATTACAAACATCATGTTCCAATTATGCATCCGTTATATCCCAATCCATAGCCAGTAAGCTAAAGAATTGTATACTGCTTCAGCTCTATGAAAGACTCAGAGCTTTAATCGCTTTGAGTGAACACTATATCTCTGCTTTTATACATAAATCGAAGCGTTGGCTATAGGATCAAAGAATCAAGAGGAGAAAGCAAAGCAGATTATATTTGCAAAGCAAAGTGTAGAAGCATCTAGTGATTTATAAATATAAAGAATGAAGAAAAATCACACTTAAATAGTAAACACTCAACACCAATAAGTATATGATATATATTCATTCAGTCTGACATAACCTAACTCTGATAATTCCTGGACCCTTGTCCCTCCATTAGTATGCCTTTGAAGTTCATATGGAGCATTGAGCAGGCCAATTTTAGCTCTCTATATTGAAAGTACTTTAGTCGCCCCTTGTCATGAAGAAGTTTTTTTCCCCCAAACATTGTGCATTATGACCAATAGAAACACAATCAAAACCAAATCAAGTTTACATGTTTCTCCTCAGCATGATATATGTCAGTCATAGTTCGAATTCACCTCTGCTGAGTGCCTGAGTATTCAATAGAGGTTGGAGGTCCGAGCACATTCCTCTGGATTTTGGCTGGTTTAAAAGAGCTGTATCCAATTCAAAAACCTACAACTCCAAAAGTCTACTAAAACTTGGACATCTGCAAACCAAAGTTATGGGTAGCATTATCACCCTTTGAGATTATACAAGTTTCAACTTTCATCAACAAGAGTAGAATTGTGCTACTGAACTTTGATAAAGGATAAAAATTATTTTGGCTCAATCCAGAGGACCATCACAACTTACTGTTACCACTCCTGAATTTCACAAAGAGCTTACACAGAACGTTGAGTGAAAGTTCAAACAGAATTCAATATGCCTTTTAGGCCATTTTTCGTGAGTATCTCCTTTTCCTTCAAAAGCAATTTCAAATCTTGTCATCTTTCAGGTCTCTTGACTAATTTGTTCGTAGCCGTTCAATCAGGACCATCCGGCCTTTCCTGCTGAATTGCGCACCCATCAGAAAAACTTCTCATCAAGGAATACGGCAAGAGGGGCTACACCTATTCTCCAAGATGATCGGATGGATCATAGCTTTATCTTCGAAAAAGGATGCCGCGAAGCTTTTTCTGGATTTTTCCGTCACAGATCAAAGGACTTTTGTCTTGTCGAAAATATGAACCCTAAGCTCCTCAAGGAGTTGTTTTTCGAGATCAAACATAGTTCTCATCCTTCGGAACATGCAGATATCACAGCTGCAATACGAGGCATTCGCGATTCGACCAAGTTCTTCTTCGTCAGCTGCGACTATCACGACCCAGAGCATATTATTGTTCGCACGTATGCTAAGTTTAGGAACTTCGATTGGAATAACCAGTCACAGATTGATAATCTCAATCTCTTTCGGATGGCAGCTATTGCGGAGGGTTGTGGCGTCTTTGCTTTTTCTGAAGGCGGCAAAAACCTCCCTCCCTTTAAGTGGAAATCGACGATTGAGGTAACACCTGAAGAGCAAAGTTCAAAGAAGCTAAAGGTGTCTACTATTGTAGAGTCTTCAACTAATGACATGCAAAGTGATACCCGCGTCTCAAACAGCTCTGAGGCACAAAGTCATGTTATAGCTTCCATACCTGTGTCTGTGGCAGCGCAAAATTCGCAAGCACATCCGTCGGCACCAAAGTTCCAGTTTCGACCAACTGTACCGCCATTTCAACCAGCTACTTCCATGTTTCGGGTCAATGACAGGCAGTCCCAGTTTTATGCCGGACCACTTGAAAGGGACCGAGTTCGGGGAGCACAGCGCGTTGGGCAAGGGCTGCAGAGTCTTATACACCCCGGAGGACATGTGCCGCAACCACCCGTTCAATCAGATCGCAGTCATGAAACATCACATCAGTCTAACCAACGGCAGGTCAGAAACCAAGGCCAACATCCAGGATCTGGAAATGAAGCAACAACATGATAAAGTTGCGTCTCCTTACTATTCTCAGCAGGAGAATATGACCCGATCTCAAAAACAGGCATTTGGGATGCGAAAATTGGCTATGCATCACGGAAATGATACTTTCCATGCTCAAGGGCTCGGAAAGTCAACACAACAGACACAACAAACTTACGGACATATGCCCCAATATACAACAACACAAAACTACACTCCACCACAGGACCAAAGATACAATTTGCAGCAGCAGCATTATCAGCAAGGCTTCAACCAGTCTCATGCCCAAAGTGATGTGATGAATCAGCGGTATAACCAGAAAAGCCCATTACAATTCAAAAATCAAGTCTGTGGAATGTATCAACAATATGGTCAAGGACAACAAAACTTTGAACAGCATCAACTTCATGGGCCTTACGCACCTCGCCAACATGTTCAACGAGATAACAATGACTTCCAGAATCTTGTGAGCCCTCAGCAAAATGCCCAACAAAACTCTTCCAATCTCCAGGCCGAAAGATACTGGAGACCCCAGCAAGCACGGCAAGTTCAATATCAGTTTGAGAACCTAACCGCTGCAGACTTTCAACAGTATGAACAAGACAGTGATAATAGCCAAGATTAAGACCACAGAAAGTTCAATCTGCACCTGAACAAAATCATCTGGACCCTCTTTCTGAGTCCAAGCACTGAATGCGAGACACAGACTTCTCGGAGCAATACAAAAACACTTGGGTCCAGATAATAGTGCAGGCGCAGAGGTGGGTCATCAAAGTACTTTAATCTCCATCTTTGAATGGGATCTGTCGAATGACTCCGTCGATACTCTTATGAGTGTCGAAGAGTATTAGAATGTGTGGCTGCTGTTATATAATGACTGCTGGCGACTTATCGGTCTGTTGAAGGATATGCATAGCGTGGGAGGAGGTGATCATACTAAAATAAGCGGATGTTAGTGATATGAGCTTTCATGGTAGCCAGAAGGGGGAGGCAAAGAAATGAATTTAAATAGACCTGCTACTCTTGGCGCAAGAGATTCCGATTTTTTTGTTCGCTTCTACCCAATTAGTGCTGCGTTTTCCCTCGATATCAGGTGTCGAACAGACTTTAAGGTGGTTGCAGCAGGATACCAGTGATGGGAAACTTCTCAACAGGACCAGGAAAGATTACTGGATCAGAATTTACAGAGAATTACTCAGATCAGCCGCATGACGAGGTCTTTACTTACAAAGGTGGTGACTTTACCGTGTCGTGTTATGCAAAAGTTTCATAACTTCGAGAACTCCAAGTCGCTCACATATCTCCCAGTGACCACAATTATAGTGAGCTTCATGATTATTTCGGGTCTTTCAGAAATCACCAAGACAAAATTGAGTGAATTTGCTGTCCCAGCTATATCTGACTCGAAGCGAAATCCCGTGACTTTTGGCAAAGCATTGCACAATTGAGTTTCTCCCTCCTCCCCTCTGCCACGGCAACCAGTCTTTTAATGTTGGTTTTGCAACCACAGTCCTTCGAATTGCAAAATCAAGACGAGTTTCTCTTCCTTGTACATCCCTATTGAGCAATACAACTTTTAATAATTGTGGTCGGCGTTGCCATTACTTGCACTTTTTTTTCTTACTGAGAACCTGGTCTCTCCCCTCTCCACCGAAAATTTCACGCAAGTTTGAGCACAATAGACTTTCATAGCACTAGTAGGGCATCCTATGATGATAATCTTCTGTCTCTATTGTAGTCGGCTAGATTTGCTAATGATGCCTGAAAAATAGCAGCCCATTCTGGCAGGAACCGATTGTCATCAAGGCAGAGCACATCCAAATTATCCAAAACAAACTCGAGAACTGGCGCATCACGAAAGCTTCAGTCACCTAGCGCGCAAATAACAAGCAACTCAAGTTTACAAAAACAACATCGTTGTTGGCCATTGACAGAAATTGGGTTGCCCTTCACGTTTCAAATACTTGTTCAAACCAAGCAATTTGAGTTGCACAGAATTCAACATACAACCCTCACAAGCAAGTAGTCCTACTGAATTTATAATCAGCAGACTCATTACAAGTGAGTCCAATAAGTTACTTTACCTTTCATCATGCTAATATGGCTTTAGAACGTTTTGAGCGCCTTCACCAGAAACAATTTCAACATCCTCTTTTAAACTTTAAATTACTTCAAATTCATTATGTCTCCACCTCAGATATCCGTGGATATTGCCATGACCTTAATTGTATGTTGGCTATGATATAAAATGTATCCTCGATGAAGAATTACATACTAACTGATTTCTAGAGGAATGGCGATACTGATTTTCTCATCGGCTACAGAAATTCGATCCCTGATCCAAGATACTTGTCAATGGAGCAAAGAAAGGACGTCACCCCCGCTGTATTGGAAATGCCGAGCCTCATAAATTCATTTACTTTCATTTCAGAAAGGTCGATGACTCAGTAAGAACTAACCAAATTATCATGCATAGATACCCCAATGCTCGCCACCACGATTGGGATAATCAGGATGATATCGATAAGCTTAATGTGTTCAGAATTGCTGCCATCACATTAGCGATTACTGACACTGATGTTTCAGTTGGACAGAAATGTTGGAGTGTTGTAACCTTATCATTGAAAAGAATGTGGTTCCCAAATTTGATAGAATTTGTTGAAGAACGCAGAGCTGAAGCTATCAGATTTTGACTCAGGGGACCATCGATGATGACGATGATGAAGATGATGGAGAGGATGGAAATGAGGGTATTTTTTCAGGACATTCCGAAGAGTTTGAGATCGTAGCTGACATTCCTGAAGCTTAGAATCACTCTATTACTCTAGTTAACAACGCCACTCAAACTGCTCTCGTATCTTCCTCCAACATCCCTGTTGGATCAGCAATTCTGAACCCAGAATTAAGCTCTGTTTCCACACATAGCGGTTCGATAATCCTACACTCCCTATTCATTGGCCCCCTAGTGGTTGATCCTCAAGCATTGAGTATACCTGCAGAAGTTGAATCGTTGAATCTTAACGACGACCTTGATGTAATGGAGTTTGAGCTCCTTAATTCTGTCAACAATGAGGGCTATGGAGGGTGTTCATTGCTATAGAGAGCAAGATAGCTGTGGGTGAAGACAAGATTCGCGTGTGTAAATTTACCCAGAGCCCAACTTCTGATTCAAGCTAATGTCAAATTTCCAGAATAAAAGAAGATTGCGTTGAGAAAGTTTGATGTACTGGGATCTCAGTAAATCTCCAACAAAGTTCGAGAAATATCCTCGGTCTTCGTGCGATTCAATCCTCTCAACCAAACCTACGTGTTGCTCAACTACCAAGGTCTCACCATCGGCCAGAATATTTACACGGATCAGCCTCAAATATTCTGCGAACTCAACAGCGATATCCCTCCAGTTTCAGCAAATTCCCCCCTCAAAAAGCTTTCCTACAACAGCCTCCGTTCTATAAGCCCTCATTCCTACGACATTTGTTTTTGGCAATATGATGTCTAAGATAGCACCTTTTCTTGATAACAGTCCATGGCAAAGTCAGAGAAAACACTAGTGTTGGCACAGCGAGTTCACTCCGGGTTGGCTTTTGAATGTTGTTTTCCTTTGTTGTCGATTTTCTTTAATTTCCTTGATATTAATAAAGTTGGTGGATTTCGTTCCGGAAAAACTATTGGACACAGAAATGGCTTCGTTCAGACCTTCTATCAAAGGTGCTGCTCCTGTGTCAATATTGCGTCCTCGTGACGATGTTGGATCAACAACCCCTTGACTAGATTGCACTTGTTCGTAATCCTTCCGGGAAGTCATCTTAGCTAGGTAGTTTATGGAATAAAAAACTTCTTGAATCAAACAGGCTTGGACGGATTTTCAGCTCACTCGCAGAAAACACATGTCATGACTTTTTTATGATCCTGCTAGAAGTGACAAAAGCTGTATACCAAGAGAAGAATAACTGACTCTAAGACTGATCACCTCTGGGTGGGATTGATGAGTAGCCATCTTTTCTGTCCTGTGAGCTCCAGAACGGAGCACCTCAAATCGGGGCTTGTTTTTCAGCATACCAAACCAAGATATAAACAGTAATTCTATTTTAATATATATTTACATAAGTGAGTAATTATTATCATTAAACTCTGAGGTGTGTAGCGAGGGCTAAGAATTTAAACAGCAGGTCCTCTTCCAATCCAGGTGCGATAACTTCTGAAAGGACCTCTTCGTTTATCAATATTCTTATACTGTCTACCAGGAGCGAGTCCTTGTTGATTGGTAGTAAAGTATAGCCATCCATCCAAGATGGCCATTGTATCAGCAGCCTGTACTTGACCACCACGGACGAGGGTCTTGAGGTTATAGTTCGCAGCTGCTACCATGCCTTCGCCACCGGCTGGAACCCCGTTCACCTCATCGGTGACTTCGGATTGAAGAGTGTCGGCGTAGAGAATAGCGTTTTGCTGCGGGTTGAATGAGTAATAGTGCGGAATCATAGAGTGTCAGGAACTTACAGCAGAAGCACAGATGTATACTCTTCCACGGTCATCAGCCGTAAATCCAGCTTGCTCAGATGGGAAGTTTCCAGGATTTTGGACCACAGCTTCGATCTCTGCGTCTGTCAAGTTAGAGATGAAAGCTTCTTGAGACGCAAAGTACCAGTGGTTAGAAGCCTTGACACCCCAATAGACATTACCCCCGGTCAATGCAATACCGTTAGTTCCAGAGTTGAGATTTGAAGAGGTAGTGCCGGCCCAGTTTCTGATGACTTCTCCATTGTACATGGAGATGAAATGTGGGTCAGGAGTGGTGAAGGTACTGTTGAAGAGATGTCTAATGGTAGCTCCAGTATCGAGGTCTATAGTTGTGATAGAACCGTATGCCGAATCCTCGGTAACGAATGCATATCCGGCGGTACCGAGTGTATTGTTGACTTTGATATCGTTCAATTGGATCTTGGCATAGTAAAGCTCAGGTGGATAGATGTAGTTACGGATTAGCTCTCCGGTAGTGTAGTTGAATGCCATAATTTTAGCTCCATAGGTTGTGGGGTGGGAACTAGGTTAAGATCAGCTGATGTTTTAGCCTCCAAAAAAGCATTGAAGCCCCTTGAATTCATAGACGAAGAAATATAAACATGAACATACGCTCCATTAGGAACTCCACTATCAATAACCCAAAACGTGCCTTCCGCATCCAAAACTACATTCTGCACGTTGACAAAGCACTCTGAAGCATTTTGGCCCGCAGCACAATTTTGCCATTCAGCTGATGGCCAAGGAGCTTCACTATTAAAGCCTGTAGCTTTTGTAAGAGTCCAGTTTTGTGGCTCCATATTGCGTGCATAGGTGAAGAAGATATTGCCATCTGGATCCAAACCTAATCCCGTGGGAGCCCGTACGTATTCATGAACGGCTTCCAATCCTGGCCCGATGACATCCAAATCGGCGGAACATCGTCCAATGGTGGTGAGATCGGTGCGCTGTTGTGATAATGGAATTGGACAGGTGCCATTGATGGCTTGAGCGGCTGCTGTTGCTGCAAAGGCAGCTAGAAGGAGTAACATGCTCACGGTTCTAGAATGGTCGCGTATGCGCGAAAAAAAGAAGGACAAAGAAGCACAAGAAAACACACGGTCTGAGATCCGAATTCAACGCGATTAGACGGGATGTATGTATTTATTTGAATATTTTGATATGGCTGCGCCTACAGTCATGGCAATACTGCGGCACTGAAAAACTTCGGCATTCCGATTTAAGGTTGGTGATGATGATATTCGGAACTTGGCACTCGCTTGGCGTATTCCACAATTTATTTAGAGGCGCCGGCGAACCCTCCACGGCCACTTGGCGCATGATATTGTGGAATACGCTCAAATTAATCAGGTGGACGAAGCGGCTTGCTTGGGGTGGATCTCCAAACACCTTGATAGACAAATTGGAGGGAAAATTATTCGTTCCAAGGGATTGGCAAACTTTCTGCGTTATTGTATATATTAAGTGAACCCGCGTGTTTTTGAATGAACTGTCATATGTTTCGGAGGTTATATTCTGAGTAAGATAAGGTTTGCTTACTTGGAATTTCTACGAAGCTCAAAGAGGGCATAGGCTGCGCCAAGTGGATGCTGTAGACTAATAGAGCTAATTATTAGCTGCGACCCCTTTTTCATGACACCCAATATCTGCTCTTTTCCCAACATTTCATGTCAATTATATCGTTATGTCATACGAGGGCGTGTTTTTGAAGAATGCCGGGCTGAAATTTAAGCGAATTTCCTTACCAAAACTATGCTTGATTGATTGATTGATTTAATTAACGTCCTTTTCTTAGTCCAAGATTATTTAGGATGGCTAGGCTTTAAGAACCTAATAATTGCTAGTGGATATTTATAGTAGATATATTCAATTTGGGGGAGTAAAAACGAATGCTGGGGTGCTATGTCTGATCTTTATTCGGAGTGCAAATAGAGATTAAATAGTCTTCATTCTCTGAGATACTTCCTTCCTCATTTTTTCTCTACTTCTAATCCAATTAAAGCATTCCAATATCCAATTTCTCTTTTTAAAATCCTAAATCCAATTTGCTATCCCTCCCTTTCTATAAAAGGTAAAAGTTATCCTTTTTCGAATTGCTTTTAATATAGCAAAGGGTCCTTTTGCTAATGAGATAGTAAAAGAAGGCATTATTCTTCTCTATCTTTATCTCTTTTAAACTAACCCCTTATATATCTTCATAAGCTTGATATTCTTCAGTTTTTATTAGATGTGTATAGTCGAAACTGTTGAAAATAATAGGGTAGGGTCAAATCCTAAGCTTTATTGCCTATATATAAATCAATTCGGAAAATTCGAAAATTCGAAAATTAAAAGAAAAATATTATATTATATCGATATCTAGAGTATAATATTAATTTGAAGGTAATAGTATTCTCTGTATTGTATTATTGTAGTATTCGAGTGGCTGAAAGCTAAAGAGTATAAAAAAGGATTGTAATATGAGTAGAGTGGTAGTAAGTTTTATATTGAAAAGACTTTTTTAAAAGAAGAGATTTATTGTATATCATATTTTTGTATTTGAAATAATAATCGATGATAGATATTGAATCTAATCGGAGTTTCTATAATTGATTGATTGATTTAGTTTAACGTCCCGCTCCAGTCCATGACTATATAAGACGGCTAGGCTCTAAAAGCTTAGCAATGCTAGTGAATATCTACAGTAGATATGATCAATTTTGGGGAGTAAAAACAAATATTGGGGTGCTCTGCCCGATCTCTATTCGGAGTGCAAATAGAGATATAATGTCTTCATCCACTGGGACCTTTCCCTCTTCCTTCTTCCCCTACCCCTAATCCTATTAAAGTATCCCGATATCCAATCCTCTTTCAAACTTGGAATCCAATTTGCTATCCCTTCCTTCTATAAGGGGCAAGAGTTATCCCCTCCCGAGTTGCCTTCAGTATAGCAAAAGGTCCTCTTGCTAGTGAGATGAAAATAGAAGGCACCACTCTTCTTTTAACTCTATCTCTTTTAAACTAGCCCTTTGTATACCTTCATAAGCTTGATATCCTCCAGCCCTTATTAGATGTGTATAGTCGAAACTGTTGAAAATAGTGGGGTAGAGTCGAACCCTAAGCCCTACAACCCACACACAAATCAATTCGAAAAATTCGAAAATTCGAAAATCGAAGGAAAAACGTTGTATCGTATCGATACCCAGAGTATAGAATTAATTAAAAGGCGATGGCATTCTCTGTATCGTAAAGTCGTATTCGAGTGGCTGAAAGCCAAAGAGAGAGAAAGGGTTGTAATTCGAAGAGAGCGGCGACGAGCTCTATATTGAAAAGACTCTTCCAAAAGAGAGAAGAGGCTAACTTTCCGTATCGTACCTGTAGAGGTAGTAATAAAAGGCAGATGTTGAATCTGACTGGGGCTTCCATAACCTTTGTATCCGCGTTGCTTTGCTGGTATTCATCTTTTCGTAGGGATCGCTGTCGCAAAATCGTAATATAATCCTTCCTTCCCTATATCTTCCAAAACCCCTTTTCTTCCAATTCTTCCGATTCCATCTGCGACTCAATCTTAGCTCTACAGACTCTTGAAGAAGAGCTGGAGGTTCGTAGGATGCACCGCGTACAGGTGTTGAGTCTTCGCATCCCGGAGTTTCTATAATCTTTATATTCATATCTAAAGCTGATATTCAACTCTTTATAGATATTGTTATTATAAAATTGTAATATAATTCTTTGCTATATTTCTGAATCTCTTTTCTTTTAATTCTTTCAATTCTATTTGCGACTCAATCTTAGCTTTGCAGACTCTCAAAAGAAAGCTGAAGGTTTGTAGGATGCATTGCGTACAGGTGTTGAGTCTTCGTATCCCCAAAACTATGCTTTATTCTATATATTTATAAATATATAATAATTCAAATATTTATTATAAGGTTTTAAAATCTGTAATTTATAGAGAGATTCAATTAATGATTATTTTGATATTAGAATTATTAATTTTTGAATTGAATTGATAATGAAATTCTATAGAGAAATTTGATTCTTAAATAAGCATTATTTCTTATAGAAATTTTAAGCATCAAAAATTCGATATAAATTTTGACTTAATTGAAAACTTTAACAAAAAAACTAAAACTATATTATTAAATTTTGAATAAAAATTTATTATTTTACAAAATTTCAAATAGATAATAATATTAAATAATTTAATATTGAATTCTAAAATGAATGAGTTTTGGTATAGAAAAGTGCTTTGCGCACAGACCCGGCATTCAATAAAAACATGACCTTGTAGAAGTACAAAGTGTGCTGGGGAAATGCTATGACGAATAACATGATAATACTCCGTTATTGAGAATCACTCCCGGAAGCAGAGAAATCTTTTCGCAGTTTTGTTTTAACTAAGCTTCAAAATCTTGTTTTCTCATATAATGGGGCACCTGAATCAAGCTTCTGGTGGCCCAAGATTGCCTAAGCAACCTCCTTGATGACAATTCCTCAATCCCCTGATTGCTTAAATATCCAAAGATCGGAATTCTCGGATTTGCCCATAAAAGGAATTGACGAGAGGCCATTCGATCACAGGTACTTGGATCTCAGGATCGAGAATAGTGGAATTGCTGTTCGGTACTGGCTGCCAAACACGTGAAGCTCCCGAGTTAAATTCGGTGGATACTGAGTTGACGGATCTGCTGTTCGAAGTGGACAATGCTAAGAATGTAAAGAATCTGGGTAGTTAGACGAAACAGTCTTTAGCATCCTGATTTTCAACAAGATAAATAAGAAATCGTTGATTGTGAAGAGCGAAGTAGCTCATTTATATCTTGTGTCACCATCTCGAGTTCTCCAGAGATAAAAGGAAGTATTTGGAAGATAACGCTATTCGATAAAGATCTTTCTAGTGAAGGTTGTGGTTCCTGCCTTGTTTTCTCCGTACTTTCTTCATTTCTATCCTTTCGGTGTGTTCAATCATGGTTCGTGTGCAAACTCTGGGATTCAATAATAATAATATATATCCATCGTAAAATGAAGCCGCGGATTCAGAATTCAATGCATACCTGTTGGGTTTTATTTCATTGCAGCTTTGTACTTGAAAGGGGTATTCCTGATCGTAATTCAGCAAATACATAATAAAGATGAAATAAGATAGATTCGATATAGCTCTGCAAATCATTTACTTTGGATGCAATGAAAGGCAGATTATGAATCTACAAGTGAAATAAATGAATATAAATAATGATTTCCTAGGCATTCTTATAGAAATCTTTTTGATATTCACCTAGAGAGCTGTTTGTAGAAGCTGGCCAGCTTTGTTAACTATTGGGCAAATCAATTTTATCTGATGTCATCTCAATCAACCAGAACAACCTCCTCCTACCTACATTTAATATTTAATAATGTTAGAAACCGCAATCACCACCAACAACTCTATCTAATTCCTTTCCTGACTCATTTCAAGAAGAAAACGTTTGTATCTGATAGCATTTAGCTCGAGTTAGTTTTCCTACAGCAGCTGTGAATAATGAATCCCTGAGCATACTGTCGTCGACCTGCCGACCAGCTGTATGCCGTTTCAGAATAAAATGACCGTACCTTTATTTATCTATATAAACAAAAGATCTTACATCCTGAGAACTTCTTTATTTCATCAGAAAACTTTTACATCAAGTACCTGAGAAATATTACTTTCAAAAAAGGCTTCCAAGGACGAATCTTTGCACCACACAACCTAATTCATGCAATCCTGTCATATTTTTATACTTGCAACATACTGTCTTTCAAGACATCTAATATCAAGAAGTTAATTCGGGACATCAACTTGTAAGCATATCCTACTATCAAACAAAGACTTGAGGATCTACCCAGAGTTGAGTATCGAGGCACTGCTCTCAACTGCTCCATACTTATATTCACTAACGGTAATAAAGGGTTAATCTAGATCAGTATGTCCCAGAAAAAGAACCAAGAGCTCCCACCGACCAAGGCACCCCTGCCCCCATTCGGTCAACCAGGACACCAAGGAAAATCCGCTCTCCTCCGCGAAAACTTTCTCTGC